GCGTGTGTTTCTGCTGGGGATGGGCGCTACCAGAGATGCGGGGCCTAATGACAGGCTGATGTTATCACAAGCTCGTTACCTGCCCTATTTAATCCTTACAGCTACCCTATCAAGTCAGTGTTGTTATCCCTATTTTATAGATGACGAAACAGAAGCTGGGTAAGGTTAAGGACTGGCCAGAGGTCACAGCAGGAAGAAGCTGGATCAGTATTCAAAGCCAGCTCTGCCTAGTGCCAAGGCCTGGGTGCTCACACTCCCTGCCCCTCTGCGTCTAGAAACAGCTGGAGAGCTGAACCAGAATTGGGCTCACAGGCCCCTGCAGCAAAGCCAGGGGTTCATTGCCAACGGCATCCCTGCCCCAAGCCCGCCACACACTCCCTTGCTGTGGGCACTGTGCAGTGGGGGCCAGCTGGCTCTCACCGGCAGCCCCACGGGACCGGTTGGCCACTTGGGAGGGCCCCGCGCCTGGCAGGGCCCCAGAGGAAGTGAGGCCAAGGGGAAATGTCTCCTGGCTCCCTCTGTCCCTCCTGCAGGAGCTATGGGCTCTTTCCGAGCAGTCGTTGCTATGCAGCCTTGTTTATGCAAGGAGAGCCTGGCAGAGGCCAGCAGCACACGCACAGCAGGGCCGGGAGCCTGTTTAACAGCCTGGGGCCGGTCAGGCCCGGGGCCGCCTCGTCCTTGCCCATCCAGGCCCATGGGCCACATGGTCTGCGGAGAGATGCCAGAGCCTGGATTCCTCCAGTGACAGGGGTTGGCCTCTGGACAGAGAGGTAAGGGGGATGTGCAGGGGTGAAGGGAACGGGAGGAGGGCCAGCCTGCCTGGAGTCCTCAGAGGGATGTGGAGGAGCTGAGCTGGAGCAAGTACAAAGGGCTCCGAGGGATGGAGGCCTTGGGACTGTGGGGCGGTCCTTTCCTCTCTCCGGAGCCTGCTGCTCTCTGAGCCTGCGAGCTGAGGAGGGGGGCTGCGCTCTCCTCCTGGCCATTGCCTCCAGCAGAGCTCCCTGTTTGGGGCTAAGCTGCACTCCCTGGGGGTGCTGAGGGATGAGGAAGGCTCTGTGTCAGGGGCGCTGGGGTGCAGGCCTTGGACAGGCTGGAAGAAGCAGGATTCAGGCCGCTCTGCCTGCTGCGAGGCCTGGGTGCTCCCACTCCCTGCACTCCTGCGTCTGGGTTTCAGTTCGGGCTCCACCTCTTACTGGCGGTACTGACTTAGGCTCTTTTCATTCTGAGCCTCAGTTTCCTTGCCTGTGAGGTGGGGGTTAAATGACGTTTCCCTTGCGGCTGCTCGTGAAGGGTGGAGATGGTAAGGAGAGAGAGGAGTGTGTTGGTCCCTGTGCTCAACAAAAGTTAACTTTTGTTGGTGCCATTATTATTATAGCGGAGATGATCGTGTTCCCTTCCAGAGCAGATTTGGGGCTCCTGAGACAAGGGTTTTGTGAACCACCTCTCCAGGACAAGGGCTCACATTGGCTGGGGACCTCGAAGGGCTGATGTTTCCTCCAGAGCCCTGAAAGGGACTCTAGGGCCTGTGCTGGGTGGGGGCATTGCTGTGGAGAGTCCTGGAGCACGGTGGTGCCCAGCCCCACCCAGGCCGGCCATGGAGGGGTGTAGCCAGGCGGGTCCTTTCTAACCCCAGGCTGGCCAGCTCAGCCCCTGCAACCTTGGCCTAGTCGACTTGAAGGAAGGGGAATGTTGTGGGAGCAAGTGACGGGGAGGGGTCAGGTTGAGCTCAGGAGGGACCTACTTCAAGGTCACCCATTGCCCCCAGTGCCACCTGAAAGGAACCTGACTTGGCTCACCGGCATGATTAGAAGTTTATTACTTGTTTTATACTCAACCTCTTGCCGACAGAAAGATGTATAAAACTTACCAACTGTTCAAAGTAGAATTTTAAAGTCAATGTGTAGCCCCCACTGCCCAGGGCAGGAAAGAGATGCCCTCTAGGGCAGCCCCCAGGTGCCTCCCTCACCGGACCCTTCCTATCACAGCTGCCTCCCTGCCCCCGAGGGTTGACCACACTCCTCATTTCCCCTGGCTTTTCCATAAAGTCTTACCATCTTTGTGTGCATGTCTAAGCTGCTGAATTTTGTCTTTGAAATTCATACAAACAGAATGGCAGCCTTTAGAGTCTTCTGTGCCTAGCTTCTCTCAGTAAACGTTGCACTGCGGAGTCACCCATGGTGCTGAGTGGAGTGGTGTTGAGTGGTTTTGTTCATTTTCTTTGCTGTGCAATATTCCATGGCATGAATACCCATAACTTTTTCTCCAGTTTCCTGTTGGGCATTGGGATTATTTCCGGATTTGGGCCACTGCCAACAGAGCTCTATGAACATTCTTGTACTTCTGTCTTGGTTCACAGCATGCAAGGTTTTCTCGAGGGTAGACGCCTAGGAGCGGTCTTGCTGGGCATAGGGCTTGCATGTCTTTAACTTTAGTAGATGAGCCAGACCACTTTCCCCTGTGGCCGTGCCCTCGTTCCCCTCGCCAGCCCTGCGTCGGAGGCCTGGCTGCTCGGCGTCTCACCAATACTTGGTGTCGTCCAGAGTCCTCCAAAGACTTGGCAATCTTTGCAGACTGGCGACAGGGACAGCGGTCTGACTAATTTGCATTTCCCAGATCAGCAGGGGGTCAGGGCCTGTCTTGCCTTTCTTCCTCCTGGCTTTCCTCCATCTTGGGGAGGCCCCTTTTTCCCCTGGTCTCCCTGCTCAGCCCCCTCATCATGCTGTTTGCCGACCTCCATTTTCCTCTCTGCCCTCCAGGCCCCTCTGTCCCTAGGCCCCATTCTCTTTCTTAGGGGACAGTCACTCATCTGTGTTATTCCCTTGCCATCGAGCTTGGAGCAGCAGTCCCGGGCTCCCGTCTGGAGGTCTGAGATTTCCACTGGATCTGTGCTTCAAAACCTCTGGATTTTGGCCCTCCTTGCATCCCTTCCTGGGCCTTGGCTTTCCCTTCAATAAAATAAGGACAGAAGAAATGGCCCTCCACAGAAGCCCTTTCTGTTTTCCAGGCCAAACCTGGCGTATGTCCTGGAGAGGCACTTGGAAGATTCTAGCTTTTGGTCGGGCAGAGTCAGCTTTCGCCCGGGGCCATTGGGAAAGGACAGAGCTGGTGGTCTGAAGCCTGCTGAGCTTCTTACAGGGAGACCTTTGTCAAGAGCCATTTCCTGGGACAGGACAGGCATGTAGACGCTAGGCATGGCCAGCACAAGTTTGCTGAGATGCTGATTGGAAGAGGTGTTTCTTTCTTCTCAGCCCCTCTGGTCCTCTTGCACCTGTAAAGTGCTCACACAGTGCAGTTTGATGACCAGAGCTCCAGCTCCTGGGCAGGGGTCCCCAAGCAGGGAAACCCATGCATAAAGCCTTCCTGGGGCAGTGGACCGGGCCTCTCTGTGTGTCAGACTCCAGGCCCAGGATCAAGCTCTTGGACAACTCAGCCCTTGATGGTGTAAATGTCAGGGTGGATGCAGCAGAAGACTTCCAAGGACTGGCCAGGGGCTGTGTGATTTCAGGCAGGATTGACACAATGGCACCCAGCCCCACCAGGAAACGTGGTCCCCGGGAACACGTTGTCATGGCTTTGGCCAGGCCCTGCAGTCTGAGGCACTGCCCTGCCCACTGCTGAGGTGCCCATTTGGGGGGAGGCCTGGGTGGGAGGTGGGAGAGGGGGAGGAGGGAGCTGGGGACCCTGCCAGCCGGTGGCCAGGGGTATGGCCATCACGGTACGCTTTGGCTCTTGAAGGCCCTGGGTATGTCCTGTAGCCTCGCCAGGCCCCACATTAACCCCTCAGTTACCAGCCAGGAGACTAGCTAACCTTCGGGGTCTCTTACAGCTGAAAAGTCAGAGACAGAGGAAGCAGATGAAGTCTCCTCTTGGCCCCACCATGTGAAGCTTTGTTGAATTACTAGCACATGTTCTGATTTCTAATTTATATTTGCATCAAGATGATACACAAAAGTGGGGCAGGCTCAGAAGATTTTGAATTTTGGAAATTTATGGATATGTCACATACCATTTTCACTAGGGCCACGACTGCTCATCCAGTGCCTTGGTGTGAGTTAGAAAAAGACACCTCTTTGTCAAGGCACTTTACTTCTATTCATCAGAAAAGGGCAATAAATGTGCAAATCTGTAGTGTCTGCAGTGTGAATGATATCTCTTTAATTATGATGCCTTGTGCAGTGCCCAACCTGAACAATCACACAAGGCGGCTGTGCTGGTCACTTGCTGTCATTGTTTTCCAAACAGAGCTTAAATAAAACTTTTTCTCAACCAGGGGCCTTCCCATGTCTTCTAGACCAATGATTCTCATATCAGAATTCCTGGGAGGTGGGGGGCTGTTTTGAATGTCACAGCCCTAGACATAGAGGCAGCTCTCTCCTTCCTCCCCCAACACACACACACACTGGACTATTGCAAATGGAAGGCCACCTTCCTCAGCTGTGATGGGAATAAAAATGGTTCGAGAAGTTCTGCTTTGGGCTCTTGAGCATGAGATCCACCCTGTCCCGGAAAGTCATTAAGATGCAGGTGCTAACCGTCTCCTTAACAGACTCTGTTCTGGTAAGAAGGGCTCTCTTGGAGCATTTCCCAGCAAGGTGATACTTGAGCTGTTCTTCTAAGGGTCCTGCCCCAGCCTGTCTGCTGCCTCCTGCTCGCCCCGGAAAACTTCCGCAACGAAGGTCATCTGCCAGGCGGCACCTCATTCCGCCACCCAGCCTCAACCAGGCCTCTGGAGCTTCTTGCCCCAAAAGCTTTCAAAAAGGATATTGTCCCTCTTCTCGCACATCTCAACGCACACACTGAAATTGTTATTAAAGAATAATATTAATAGGCCCCATTTGTTGAGTTCTCGCTTAGGGGCCAGATGATTTGAGATGCTTTTTGTATTTTATTGAATATGCTCAGTAACCTTGTGAGAAAGGCATTATCATTTCCCTTTTGCAGTTAAACGGAAGCTCAGGTTTAGTAATGTGTTGCGTGTGAAGTCTCGCAGCTGGTAGGTGATGGAATTTAATGCAGGGCTGTTGGCCACCGGGCAGTACTGTGTTCTTCTGCCTCGAGCAGCAGAGAACGTCAGCCCCGATGCCTCCGCTGGCCAGCTCGGTGACCTCCGTCCAGCTACTTAGCCTCTCTGAGCCCGTCTTCTTAGGCGTAAAATGAGGACAATAACATCTGCCTCGTTGCTCTATTTCAAAAGCTAAATGGCATGATGTGTGGCAGCACCTAGCGCCGTGCCTGGTGCAAAGCGGCGTGGAACTAAGAAATGTTAGTTCCCTTCCTTCGTTTCTTCTCAACAAGACTGTCTATAATTTCGACATTTGGGGCTCTAAGTTTGATTTCTTCATTCATGTGTGCTGCAAGCAGTCATGGAGCTCTTACTATGTGCCAGGTACTGTGTTTGGCACTTTGTATTTCTTTACAGTCCCATAGGCCTGCTAGCTGAAGCACATCCTGCTGTCTGGAGCACAGAAGGTTCCCGTAGCATTGACCCCACCTGATCCCAGTTATGGCAGGGAGGTGGCATCTGCAGTCAGAGGGTGTAGCTCCAGAGCTGGTGAAGAGGCTCCGGAAGGGGGCACTTATGGTTGGTGGGGGGCATGTCATCTATGAACTGTCTTCCTGCCGGCCCGCATGCCAGTCACTGCTGGAGCCAGGAGCCTGAGTGGGGGGCCCTGGGCACCTCTCCTGGGGGGTCTGGTGGGTGTGGGGATCAGTCTCCTGGTTTTGGTGGTTTTGGTAGCTCCTGGCTACCAGCGTCAGGAGTCAGATAATGCCATTTCCTCTCTTCAAAAGCTCTTTAGCGTTCCCTTCCCTCCCCACACGGGCTCTCCACCTTCTCAGCCTCGGGTCCTTCTGCCAAACCCCAACCCCACAGCCTGTTTCTTCCTCCATGCCCCTACTCAGACTGTTTTGTCAGCCTGCAAGGCCTTTCCTGTTTCCCTCGCCAGCTAGACTCTGCTTCCTTCCAGGCCCAGCGAGGATGATGCTCTCCTGTGGTGGGTCTCCAGGCGCCTAGTCAGACAGCTCTGCAGGTCTCCCCTGTGCCCGTCTCCACCCAGGACCCCCTGCGCTCTGCCTGGTGTCACGGTGGGCATTACTTTCACAGGATAGCATCCCAGGTAAGAACTGCAGGAGGGCCCGGCCCGGCCCATTTGAGCCTCTGACTCTACGGACATGTCTGTCTCCTCCACGTGAGGGGCACCCATGGCACCCGGTCTGTCTTGTAGGGACGGAGGGCTGGCCCCTCATAACTTTAAAGACAGCACGTGGGCGGGGGCAGGGAGAGGAAGAGTCCGCACCTGATCTTACTATCTACCAGCAAAGGTGCTGAATTCTTTTCGCACTTCACCTAAGCCCAACCAAACCCTTGGATAGGACATTTTTTTCAGATGAAGAAACCAAAGCTCAGAGGAATTAGAGTTAATATGAGTGGGGCAGGTGGGAAGGGTGCCCATCTGAGGCCTCTCTTCAGAGAGAAAATGTTTCTGCAGGGGACATTTTTGGGCTCAAAACCTAGGTTTGTTCACTCTGCCATCTTTGCCCATTCCCCTTCTCTACCCATCTTGACATGGCACCGCTGTTCCCACCCAGCACGTCTGAGGAGGCACAAACTCTGACTTCCTGGAACCCATGTCCTCGGAGGCCTCTAAAAGGAGGAGTGGGTAGTGTCATGGCCGCACAAGGGATGCTACATGTGTGGCAGCCCCTGGGAGGGGGGGCAGGTGGGGCTGCATCTCAGGATCGGGGGCCCATCCCCTCTGGGGCCTCTCTGCAGCCACAGGGGTGACTGGGATCTTGTCCCTGGGGCTGACGTTCTTTACTGGGCCAGTTCTAGCTTTATTTCCTTTCCACTTGAAACCTGAGTCCCTTCCATCACCTTTTTCATTCCCGTGGCGCCAGTCACCATGGAGCCTCTGTAGTCATAGCTTTAGTGGAAGGAGTGGACAGCGGTCAGTTACCTTGGGCCACTCCACTCCCGAAGCTGGAAAACCAAGGCCAAGGGTGGAGGAGCCAGCTACCTTGGGCAGAGCCTCAGGGAGTGAGGACAGAATCCTGGTCCCCAGAACCCACTGGCTACTAGCCCTTTAGGTCAGGGGTCGGCTGTTCCAATAGGAAACAGTCACTCCTCAGTGCCCAGAGCAGAACAGTGCCAGGGGTACATGGGGGCTCAGTGGATTGTGTCTTGGGGGTCAGGTGCTAAGTCCGGTTGATGCTAAACCCCAAACTTCTATCTATCCACATTGGGGCTGGAATTTCTGATCTTGGTTTTTAGAGTTTGTACATGGATTTTTAAGTTCCTACCAGGTCGTGGGCCTCCATGATTTCCCTGGGGAGGTGCCGTCCATTGTTCTCGCGTAGGACATAAGATGTGGTTGTTTGTCCATTTGTAGCTTGTGGCCACCTCCCCTTGGGCAGGTGCCTAGGAGGTCCTGCACGCAGACCCTGAGGGCCTGCCTAAGGGGTCAAACGTGTTGACACAGTCAGGAGCAGGCCCAAGAGGGGGTCTGCCTGCTGGGTTGCCCTGGCAAGCTAAGAGAAAGAAACCAAACAGATCCCTGTGGCTTGCTCCCTAGAAGACTCTAAATCAGTAGGGGCCAGAGGTGGGGCCTTGGAATCTGTCATTTTTATCAGTTCCCAGGTGATTCTGATCCACAGCCACAGTTGAGAACAAGGGCTGTAGCTAAGTATCACTACTCTGCATATAATTCGCATAGAAAGCCAACGCTCTGGTTAGATATGGTAGCAGCAGTCTGTGGGTCCTGCAGCTCTCACTGTCTACAAAGCCTGGACTCTAGCTTGTTTGCTTTAATTCAGCTGTGGATGGTGTGTCCCTGCCTGGAACATTCCTGCTGGGCTTTGCTGGCAGCTGCCTTGCCAATCTCTTGAGTCTCTTTGCCAGCTCACTGGGGCGAGGAGCGGGGTGTTGAGACCTGTGGAATAGTCTTCCACCACCTTGCTCGGGAGAAGTACTGTGTCTCACTGACATCCCCTTGTGGCCAAATACTTATCCTAGTAGTCAGCACATAGGGAGTTGTGAGGAAAATTCTCCTCGGACAGAGAACCTGAGTGCTTGAGGACGTAAGCAGAGAGACCAGGCAAAGGCTGGGCTGGAACCTCTGTTGGGGCCAGAAGTGTTGCTAGGAGCTGCTCTGCCTTCTGGGGCCGGGGTGGGGATGATGGCAGGCTGGCTTCCAGATGGAAGGCAGGTTTTCTCAGTTTCTGAGTTGGGATATGCTGCTCAGCAAAAGGAAGTTGGCATTGCATCTTGCCCTGTCCCCAGATGATATCTCAAGGGAGCTACTCCAGAGTAGAGACTGGGAGATGTGGCCTTTACCCCTGAGTTTGTCACTGATCGGCTCTGGCCATCCACCTCCCCATCTGTCATAGTGAAAATGGGTCACATCTGTCTCGGCAAAGACTATAAATCTGTGTGAAGTTGCAGAGTCTGTGGTGAGACCCTTGTCACATGGAAAGAGAATGAAGTTAGGTCCTGAGCAAGAGCCGATGACTGATCCCAGAGGTTTAAGGGGGACCAAGAAGAGGCTTGACGTGGTCAAGCAGTTGGCCACAGGACAATGAAATGACTCTCTGACAGGGTCAGAAGTGTATGGCTTGGTGGGCATGTGGACCAAGAACTTCATGCAGATAGAGCCTGGCATATCCGAGAGAAAACTAGAGAGCTGGTTTCTGGGGAGAGACCCTGCCACATACCCGAGTGATAAGCAAGAGTCACAAAGCTCGACTTTCGTCAGGAGCTTCCAGGGCAGTGGGCAGAGAAAATGGGATTCTGAAGAAAATAGAAACTAAAGGAGAAGGAAGGTGTCAGACTCAGCCTTGATCAGTTCTCCCTTCCCCGGAGACCCTAAGGTGTCCTTGTCAAAGCCACAGGTGAAACAGCTTTAGTGGGCTTGGTGACACTCTTCATCTACAGCTCTGCTCACAGTGGTACAGCCTTGGCACCTGCAAAACTTCGAGCGTCTCGGAGAGGCAGGATGTCAGAAAAGGGGTGTCCTTTGATCCAGCAGCAGATTTCCTCACTCCGAGAATACTTGGGCTCCTGATGGACTTCCTGCAAAGTCACTTAAAAAGTGTTTGTTACTTGTACTGACATCGCTCTGCCGCTCCCTACCGTAGGACCCTGGATGTTACAGGCTGCCGCCTTCTGGATACCCCAGGACTGTGCTCACAGCCCAGAAGTAGCTGCTGCCTCTGGACAACCTCCCAGGCACCTTCTCCACCCAGGGCATGAGCACCCATGATGCTGTCCCCCCAGGTAAAGGGCTGCACTTGGCCTGGGAGATGGAGCCAGGCAGGTGGCCATGCCTTTCCGCCCTGGCCCAGCTCCCTGCTGGCTGATGCTGGCCCTCCATGCTCAGCTTGCTGTCTGGGGGCTCCCGGGCCCAGGGAAAGGCTCAGAGTGTTCTAGAAAGTCGTCTGAGCTTTACCTCCCTTCTCTGTGCTGGTGGGCTGGCTGAGGAGCTGGCCTGTTTTGTGGTCAGAGGACATGGGGCTGGGCCCTCGGACAGCGGCTTCTCCATCTCTTCAACGGACAGAGCAGGAGAAGGGGAGGAACAGTGTGGCTAGCTCAGGGTCAGGAGATGGCGTTACAGGCCTGATGCTCTTCCTCTGGGAGCCAGCTGTGTGAACCTCCGTTTCCTCTGGAGAGTGAGGGGATCCACAGGTTCTGCCACAGATGGAAGGGGTGCTGAATGGTGGAGAGCTGCTTTTCCCTGGTGGGGTTGGAGCCGAGGCCCCGGGATGACAGAGTGGTTCAGGACACAGGTCATTACCTAGGGGCAGAGCACCCTGGGGCTTTGATATATTAATGTGAGGACAACTGCATAATTTAATGCCACATCAGATCCTGCCGGACATTAGATTCTTAGAGGGAAGTGGGGAGTGCTGAAAGCTTAAGAAAAACCTAGAAATCTAGAAATAGAATGAAGGTGTGACTGTATGAACCCCTAATCCTGTCCACCTCCTTTGTTTTACTGATCTGGGGATCGAGACTCAGAGAGGCTAACTTATTTCCCCAAGGTCACACAGCTGACAGAAACAGGAGGGGAACAGACTCCTGACTCCTGGTCTGGAGGCCTTCCACCCTGGGAGTGGGTGTGCTGGGTCGCCCCTGGGTGGAGGCTTCTCCAGGTGGTGGGTTAGGGCCCCAGGGATAGTCCTGAGGTGGCCTCGGATGGGGAGCCATGGGGGTGTTGGACCAGCGATTCAGCTTGCTAACATTCAAGTGCCTCCTGAGCACGGGTCCTGCAAAGACAAATAGGATAAAGTCCCTGTGCCAGGATGTGAAGGGTGGGGTGGGGAGAGGCCAGGAGGGGGAGGGTGGGGTGGGGTATGCCTGGGCGGCTGCAGGGGCGCAGAGGAAAGGCAAGGCTTCTCAGCGTAGTGGGTGCTTAGCCGAGGCTCCCCCTCTCCCCTCCCAGGGAGTCCTGACTCTCAGCTCAGCCCCCCCCAGCCCCCCTCCCGCTGGGCTCCTGGGCCCCACACTGTCACTGCTGGTTACTCATGGTCTCTCCCAGCAGCCTTCAGGTCTCACCAGGGACTGGGGAACAGGGTCCCTGACAGGCAGCGTTCAATAAATATCTACGGTTAGGGATCAATCAAATCAATTTGCTGAGCCGGGGAGGTTTAGGAGAAGACGAAGGGCCAGTGTGGGACACGCTGATGAGGGGCTGGAGGACTCCCAGGGGAGGGTTGTTGGGCAGGTAATTGGATGCTCCGCTCTGCCCCCGTGGGGCGAGGTCAGGGCCAAAGCCACAGGTCAAGGGGTTACCGCATGAGGGTGACAATCACAGGCACGGCAGTGAGGAGTAGCCCACGAGAGGTGCGAAGGGCAGAGGCGGGGTGGGGGTGTGTGTGGAGGGGGGGAGCCCGTGAAGGAGGCTAAGAAGGTGTGGGGTAGCCGGGTGGGGGTGCAGGGGCTGGAGCAAGGTCGGACGGAGAAGGCGTGCGAGTGTGACCGGTGGGGGAGCCAGGCCGAGAGGACTGGGAAGAGGGGGTGGTGGGATTCGGTGGGGAGTGTAGTACCCTGGCCTGCTGGGTGCGGGCTGGCGGGCCCCCTCTCTGTGGGCCAGGCTCTGGTTTGGGGATGGGCTGCAGAGACCCCGAGAGCAAGAGTGCTGCGGCAGCCTGTTCCCCAGTCCTGGTCTCAGTGGACTTCCTGTGCTTCTGTCCCCAGCCAAGGTTCTGGCTCCTGTGGCCGTGTACTGTGCGAGTGTCCCTCGGACCAGTGCTGGGCCCCGCGCGCTCCCGGGCAGAAGTGACTCCGAGCTCCAGACTTACGGAGAAGGTGAGGTTGGTGGGACTTGGCCTGCTGACTGGTCACACCAAATGGCCTTCCAGTGCCCTCAGTGGCCTCTCTGGGGACTGGGGGCAGAGAATCGGGGTTCCACCGGCAGCTGCCCAATCAGGGCCGGGGACCAGCGAGCAGAGCTTGGGCCCCCTCCTGGAGAGAGGATGTGAGTTGATTTCGATGCCTGGCTGTGTCCTCCAGCTCTTGGCACTGGCCACTTTTACTGTGGTCCCTGCTGCAAATGCCCTTTGGTCTTAGGTGGGTCCTTTCAGTTCTGTGCCTCCGGGGATGGAGGTGCACAGAGGGCTGCCCCAGGAACAAGGACGTGGGGATCTCAGCACACCTCTCACTCTCATCAGAAGCCAGGGAAAGCCGCCGTGAGCCCCGGGAAGACAGGGTCTGCAGCAGCCAGGGTGGTGGTGGGGACGGGGGCCCCGCTAGTGGGACAGCTGCTCATGTTATTTTCAGGACAGCCATTCTGGTTCTCGGCCACTCTCTGCTCTCACTTCCAGCTGCAGACCCTCTTCTCTGCAGAGCCCCAGTTCCCATGTTTGCGAGGGAGAACATGATCGTTCTAGCTACTTGCCCTCTTTCAGGCTACTCCCCTTACAGGCCTGTGGCCGGCACCTAGGTCAGCTTTCGCTGGGCCTGGTGCTGCCCAGGATCTGTGGCCTCTTCTGTGGGCCTTGTGGCTTAGGTCAAGGCCCTCCAAAAAGGCTATGTGTGTGGCAGAGGTTCTAAAAGCTGGTCTCTGTATTTGTTTTCCCTGGCCCTTCCGTGGTCTAGGCTCCTGCAAGGCCCAGTTCAAACATCACCACTTTATGAAGGCTTTCCAGATCCTTCTCTTCCTCCTCTATGTGCACAAAGCATTTTGTTGATATCTCTCTTATGGCACATCTCCCAGTTTACCTTGTAATGCCACTTAGGGATAAATCTTCTTTCTCTAATAGCTTGAAAGTCCTTTTGTGGCAAAGACTGTGTCTTACCCATCTCTGGATCTCCACTGCCTGGACTGCTTGGCACATAGGAGATGCCCTCTGAATGTTTATTGAATGAGTGGTTGGATAAGCTGGTGTCTGCATGGAAGCATGATTGGTTCTGGGTCACCTGAACTCTTTTCAATCTGCATTTGGTATTGTCAAGTGTACTGAATGGATTGGTAGGGATCCTGGAGATTGCTGGATGGTGGTCCCTGGACAGAAGGCCTTCCCTAAGTATATATGCCCTCATGTCTGTGCTGTCATTGGGCTGCATATCGACTCCCTTGTTCTTCCCTTGAGTAGCTCATGACACATCTTGTTAAGGTTAGGCTTCCCAGATACTGTTGAATGAATGAATTGACCCAAGGAGCGATGGTAACAACAAATGATTGGGATTCATGGGGCAGAGCCGGACTGTTCTAAGGAACCAGCACCGAAGAGTTCACTGGTACCTGGTGCCACCATGGGTGCTGTGTGCCCAGCCACTCTCGCCTCTGTCTCCCTCAGCCTCCCTCCAGCCAACTCCGAGTGTCCTGCTAGAGAAGCCGCTGCAGCTCTTGAGTGGACACGGGGACCCCAGCGGCCTCAAGTTGGATGCCCCCCTGAAGGGCTGGCCCGCCAGGAATGGCCACCCCAGGAGCCTTGCGGCCCTGTCTCTGGGGTCCAAACCCCTGGCACCCTTCTCCTCTCTGGAGTCTGAGGCCAACAGTGTGGCCCGGGACACCACCCAGATCAAGGACAAGCTCAAGAAAAGGAGGCTCTCAGAGGGCTTGGCGGCATCCTCCCGAGGTGAGCACTGGGCCCTGCCCACCTGCCTCTCACCCACCCTGAGGCCAGGGACTCAGGCTACCTGGCTGTGAGGATCAGTAGGTGTCCGGCTGGCAGCCGGGTTCTCTGCACGCTGGTCAGGACGCACCCACCCAGGGCACTGTCAGCCGCCTCCCTGGGAATGCACCTCCTGCCTGGGCTCTGCAGTGGCCTCCCGGCTAACCTCCCCATTCCCACCCTTGCCGCCTTCTCCTCCTCGTCTTCTCTCCAGGGGGATCCTTCCAAATGGCCCATCTGATCATATTCTCCTTCCCGCTCCCACCAACGATGCTTAGAACCACCCCGTAGTTTTTGGAAGTGCTTAGAGTAAGCTCCTGAACAGTCCCTGTGCATGAGGCTGACTGCCCTCACCCTGTGCCTGCACCACTCTCCCCTGCTCTCCGCTCGCTCTCTCCCCTGCTCTCTGCTGTCAGATACACTGACGCTCCAGTCCTGGAGCAGGTGGGCTCTCTCTGGCCTCAGGCTCTGACAGGCTGCTCCCCCCACCTCCGGAATCCTTTCCTCGCGGGGCTACCATTCATCCTTCCTGCTTGGCTCAGAAGCCTTCCCCAGAGAGGTCTCCTCCACTCCCCAGTCGGCATCCACCCCAGTGACCCTCTCTAATAATGCCCTCCAGTTTTCCCTCTGACCTCTCTTCGTAGAGCTGTGTCCTTACACATCTGTGTACTTACTTGTGTGATTATTTGTTTCACATGTGAATTTTGCACTCGGTGGTATTCTTGACGAGGGCAGGCGGGGAGTCCTTAGTGCAAGGCAGAGTTGCCTGGCAAGGGAGATTCTCCAGAAATGTTTGTTGAATAGATGAGCAAAGAATTGAACAGCGAGCACTTTATATTTCTCTCTCATCTGCGTGGTGGGCAAACCAGAAGAACAGGCCAGATTCCAATCTTAGCCCTGACACTGGCTGGCTCTGGGACTTTGGGCAAGTCAGTCACCCCTTCACCCTCAGTTTCGCCTCAGTGTAATGGGGATACTAATACTTCTGTGTGCCTGAGAGTTTGATGAAAACATCGTACACAGAATTCTCAGCACCCGGCATTGTGGGTAGCACTTAATAAATTCTCATTTCCTTTTCTCTCTCCTCTTCTCCTGGACTCATCACTGGGTCCTTTTTTAGCTCAGTGAATGCTTGAGTAACACAAGGAATAAGGAGCCTCGAAGTCTTAGGAAGGAAGGGGACATCCTCCTCACTGAGCAAGATGCTCCCCCTGCTGAGGTCTCCCCGGGGCTGACGTCGCCCAGGATGATGCAGGGGAGCCCCTGTAAGGAGTCCCCCTGTGGCTGGACAGTATGGACGCAGCAGGTGGGGGCTTGGAGTGCTGGAGAAGCTTGCTTAGAATTTCCAAGTGGTGCAACTTCTGGAGTTGCCAGACCAGTGACTCCCTCCCCAAGAGGTCTGAAGTCTTTCTCTAGACATGTCATCTCTTTGTACAAACTTCTAGTACAGGAGAAAAAGAACAGGAGTTGTTCTACGCAAGGTACGAATGGGATGTGATCTTGACTTAGCAGGTCCCTCAGCAAGTGTGGCGGGATGGGGATCTCTGGCCCCCTGAGCAGGGCTGCGCCTGCCCTCTGCATCCTGGATGGAGGCTGTGTTGGCCTCTCTGTATCACCTCCCAAATGGAGCCCAAGGCAGGTACCGTCGCCACCTGGCTTGTGACCCCTTCTTCCCTCCCTCCCCTCAGCACACCGACACAAGGCAAAGCAGAGCCAGGCTGGGCAGAGGAGCAGAGAAGCTCTTTTGATGCGACCACTTTGATGTAGCTGGAACAAAATGGCCTTGAGAGTTAAATGCTAAGTTTTTTTTCACCACCACCACCACTAGTAGTTGCAAAGATAATCCTGAGCTCTTTACTGTGGGGATGGCAGGAGGCATGTTGCTGTTCCTGATGGCGTGGGGCGGAGGCAGGGAGGATGCCTGTTGGGCACAGAAGTTACTCAGAAAAGAGCTAAAAGTGGGAGTGGTCTGCTTTCAGATGAGGTCAGGGTGTCTCCTGTGTCGAAACAGCAGTACCCACACATCATTAACTGAAAAGGAAGGGGGAACAGAAGTAATTTATGGGCACCTGCCACGTGCCTGGGACTTTCTTGGCATTTTACAGAAGTCCCTGAATTTTTGGATAACCCCGTGATGTAACTACGTGCAGTTTACAGATGAGCTAATGGGGATTCAGAGACTTGCCCAAGGTCCCACAGCTTCTAGCCAGGACTGGAGTCCGCTGTCCTGACTCCTGGTCTAGTACTGGTGTGTTTCCCGTCCTGCCCAGGCTGCCTCCGAATTTTAAAAGGGTGACTTTGATTGGCCCTTTTTACCAAAGTTTATAGGAATGGGCACGCTTGCTCAGCCTAGTGGTGGGGGTGGGCCGGGGTGGATCTCCTTCTGCTCTCACAGTCTCGGCCTCCCCTGGAACCGATGGCCCTGTTGCCAGTATCTGAATTCCCCCGTTCCCAATGCTCCAGGGACTAACTTATTCCTCACCCCCACCCCCTGCACAGTCTCCCTGGATCCTGTGGGAGGCCCCAAAGGAGTTCCTCTGAGGAGCACCATCCCCCGGGCCACTTCTCAGAGGCTGCTGAGGGCGCCCAGGCCAATGCCTCCCATCCAGAGCATCCCCCCCACCCCTGAGGCTGGCGGAGCCAAGGAGAAGGGCCTAGACCCACCTGGGAGCAGTCAGGGTCCCCAGGAGCTGAGACCCGGAGCCCAGGAGGTAAGGTGGCTTGACTGTTCTGAGTTTTGCCTCTCCTTCCTTCTGTCTTTGATTCCACTCTTTTTTTTTTTTTTTTTTTAAGATTTTATTTATTTATTTGAGAGAGAGAGTGCATGAGCTGGGGGAGAGGCAGAGGGAGAGGGAGAAGCAGACTCCCCGCTGAGCAAGGAGCCCGATGCGGGACTGGATCCCAGGACCCTGGGATCATGACCTGAGCCGAAGGCAGACGCTTAACTGACTGAGCCACCCAGGCGTCCCTCTTTGTTCCCATTCTTTACCACCCCCCCCCCCATTCCTGAGCCCTGAGCTTCTCTGGAGGTGTGTGAAGGGCTGCCCTCAAGGATAGGGGTAGCACTGGGAGGGGCATCTTCCCTGCAGCATCCAAAACCTCCAGTGCCAGGGCGGAGCTCTGGGGGCCTGGGCACGATCTGGCTGGCTGCCCCAGAGGTGCTGAGCACAGGCTGTGTGACCACCGGCCCTACACTTGGGGATCCCTAGGCCTTCTCTGGTCTAAACGTTCCAGAGTTCCTGATGCTTCTGACCATCCCTATCACAGGCAAGGGCGTGCGGCAGAGGGGAAAGGTGGCTGGGCTGAAACTCAGGAGATTTGGGCTCTGGTTTCCACTCTGCCCCTCACTGGCTGTGTGACCTTGGGCCAGTCACCCTCCTCTCTGGGCCTAGTTTGCACATCTATAAAAAGAAGGTATTAGACCAGACGTTTTTGAAGATCCCTTTCAGCTCTGATGTTGTAGGAGTTTCTGAAATGAGAAGAATAGAAAAACAAATAATAATAACAAAAAGAGAGTAGGGATGAGGGGGGTAGCCCGCGGCAGGTCTTCTGTCTTGGAGTGGTAAGGAAACAGTGAGCTTTCTGGGGGTGGTCCCAGGGTGGTGTGGCTGGGAAGAAAAACCAGAGGCCACTTCCCAGCACTGCCTACCACCCCAGGTGGCTCCTGATAAAAGGGACCACCCTGTGTGAGGGGCCTGGGAGGTGAGCCTCCAGAACCTTCCCTCAACCTCCGCTCCCGGGTGCAGATCTCCAGACAATACCTGCATTGCAATGACGAGAAGATGCACAAGTCGCTGGGAGGCGTTGTGACCCCGCCCATCCCGAAGGCCGCCGTGTCTGCTGGGGCCTCCTCCTCTACGGCTGGCCCCCTTCCCAGCTGCTTGCCTCCCGGCCAGGGTGTCCTGACGGGCCTGAGGGTCCCCCGCACGCGGTAAGCAGCCCTCTCTCCAGCTGGCCCTCTGAGATCCGAGATCTGCTGAGCCTCCAGTGCCAGGGAGGAGCTCTGGGGGCCTGGGCACGTGAAGGGCCTGGCTCACCCATGAGCCACAGACCTGGGGACCTCACAGATAGCTGATCCTTGAGCCCAGCGGGCTGGGCGTCTGCGCTTAGTAGAGAGTGTCTCAGCCTCCATAGTCCATCAGTTTGCTGATGTCTGTGGTTGTTGCAGTGATGAATGAAATAGGAGCTCTATTCACGGTAGCTCTTTGTTATTATGTATTTTCTTAACTAATGGATATTAAAAATACAAGCATTATCTGGTATCTGTATGGAAGTGGGAGGGAGTGGTCCACAAAAGCTTTGGATGTAAAAAGGGGTCTTTATACACAAAAATGTTTGGGAATCGGGGGAGGTAGAGGGTTGCTGTGTTGTAATGAATCTGGATTTATGGCTCTCAAGTGGGACAGACGGAACTCTTCAGATGTCCCAGATCATCCCATGGTCAGTCCAAACTGATGTCGGAGCAGGTGTGTGTGTGTGTGTGTGTGTGTGTGTGAGAGAGAGAGAGAGAGAGAGAGAGACAGAGAGACAGAGGCAGACAGGGGGAGAATGACAGAGGCCTCCCTTCTCGCATCCCTTTGGGGCCTGCTGTACTGCGTTCTGCCGTTTCTCTCATGTTCCTCACGTCTCCGTCTCCCATGCTGCCTCCCTGCCCATCTGTACCCACGTCCACCTCCTCCCCAGCCCCGGTGGAGTGTGGGCCTGCTCCTGGATCTGAATGCCCGCTCCGTCGACCTGTGCTTCCTCACGCCAGGCCCTTCCTCCCCTCAGTGGCGGTGCTGGTGGCTGGAGGGACTCTCTGGCCCCAGACCAGTGGCCTTTACTCCACCCTCCTTGCTCTCGACTTCACATCCTGTGAGGTACTGACGTCCACGTCCTTCCCCTTCCTTGCCCTCCTGACTTGAACCCTGCTCCCTGACCTCCTATGGCAGGACCTTCTAGGCAGTGTCCCCTGCGCCCTCCTTCGTCCACCTCTTAGACGTGGCTGTTCCTGCAGTTTGGTCCTGGCCGTTTGTGCCCAGCTACTTGTTCTCCCCTGGGGGAGTCCTGTCTGTGCTGGCAGCTTCCAGGGATGGGCGGCTCCCTCATTCCCTCATCCCCCGCTCTGCCCCAAGGTCTCCCTAGAGTTGGGCTCCGCGTTTCCATCCTCCTGGTGGGCATCCCCGGTGTCCTCATGGCCGATGCCGATCCGGCGTCAGAGGGAGGGAGGGAGGCTGTGCCACCATCATGGCCACACTGACGGGCCACCTCACGTTGCCCCAAACCCCCTCCCTCCCACGACCTCCCGGCTCCCACCGGGGTGCGGGCATTCTCTTCCATCTTCCAATTTCGGCACCATCTTCAGCTCTTGCTCCTGTGGCCCCTTGTCCTAGCAGATTGCCACATCCCATCAGGTCTTCTGTAAACAAGAGAAAGTATGAAGGCTGCCACCCTCTCTTGCCCCTGCCTCTCTTCTCCGTTTCCGCTCACGGGCTCCCTCTTGAGTGCCCCAACAGTTCCCAGCCCAGCACCTTGCTGCCTGGGCTCTGCATTCTAATCTTCCCTTCTCGTGCACCACCCCGCGTACCTTTCCTCCACGCCATTCTCATTTTTTTGACGTCCTGTGTCAGCAGGTTAAGGAGAGTCTCCTCGGTCTGACGTTCAGGGCCTGTCCCAGCCCACCACCCTGCAGGCCTCCTGGGCTGCCCTCTGGAGCCGGCCCACCCCCAGAGCCTCCCCGCCCCATCCCTGCAGTCCCAACACCAGCCTTCACCTGGGGGGGGGGGGCCCGTTCAGCTCCTACTGTTCTTCAAGCCCCAGTCGCACACCAGTCCTTGTGCTCAGGTCTTCCCTGCCCTCCCTGGGGAGGCGATCAGGGAAAGAGCCTCCTCTGCACTGTCCACACAGCATCTAGCCCACGGACCACCTGACCACACTTTTTTTTTTTTTTTAAAGATTTTATTTATTTATTCATGAGAGACAGAGAGAGAGAGAGAGAGAAGCAGAGGGAGAAGCAGGCTCCCCGCTGAGCAGGGAGCCCGATGTGGGACTCGATCCTGGGACCCTGGGATCATGACCTGAGCCGAAGGCAGACGCTTAACCACCTGAGCCACCCAGGCGCCCCCCTGACCACACTTTTATTTAAACCGCCTATCTATTCTTCAACGGGGAGCACTGCCGGGCAGAGGCCATAACTTGAAATCTCTGCCCATCCTTCTGGGGAACCCCCCGGGAAATGATCTCAATCAGGCTGGGAAGCCTTCCTGGAGGAGGTGAGGCCAGAGCTGAGTTTTGAAGCCTGAGGGAGAATTTGGGCGACGAGGAGGGAGAGACGTGAGGCATTCCCGGAGCCTCAAGGGGTGTGCGCACCAGCACCAGTGTTGGTGTGACACAGGCGGGTGAGGTTAGCAGGACTGCACGGCTCCGTGTGCTAAACCGAGGACTGTGAGCTTTACTCTGAAGTAGCAAGGTGCCACTGAAAGCCTTTAGGTGTGGAAGTGCCATCAGATCTGCGTTAGAAAGGCCACTTTGGTGACCAGAGAGGACTGAGCACGCTGAGGCGGAGACTCTTGCAGGATTGGCGGGCAGAAGCCATGGGCCCCTGAGCGGGGCAGCGGCGGTGGTCTGTGGCGTCTGTGTCTGGACCCAGCCTGGCCTGGCCTGGTCTTCGGTCGGCCTGCCCTTGACTTTGCGGATGGAGCTGCATCCCCTGCAGCTTTGAGCTCCTAGCCAAGAGCCTCTTTACAGAGCCGCCCCCGCCGCCTTCACGGGTCCCCCCGTCTCACCTGTTGCCCCATCCTGGAGCCACCCAGGCTCCTCACCGAAGTGGCTCCTACTTGCCATCTCTCATGGTGCTTTTTTTCTCCCCGATTCTTTCAAGATTGGTTCAGGAGAGTGGGCCTCGGGAGAAGACCCCTAAATCTCTGGGTACGTACTCCCCACACACACCCCTGCTTGCTGTTAATTCAACTCCCTGCTTCCTGGGCCAGGTAGGGGATCAGAAGTAGGGTTGGAGTAGGTGTGAGCACCCTCGGACCCTAGCCCCTCATTTTATGGACAGGGAAACTGAGGCCTCGGGCCATGCCACCTTGGAGGGCGGTACCAGCACATGGAGCTTCCTGGTAGCCCAGTCGCGAGGGAAGCCTGTGTGACCTGTGACCGGCTGCACCAGGACTGCAGGCTGGGGTCTTGTCCCCGGTCCCAGAGCCTGGAAGGTGGCCCGCCATATGTGCGCGCGGGTCTGCAGGGCTCCAGAGACCGTGCTTCTGACACCTTGGGCGGCTGCCCCTGCACTGTTTTAAGCAAGCAGAGGAGAATGTTCCATACCAGGCCAAGTGAGAAATTGAACCATATCCCCTGAACCCCTCAGTCAGCGGGTCCCGGAAGGCTTAGTGTTGGGAGAATAGGGCCATCCCGGTTGTTAGGGAGGCGGGTGGCCTGCAGGAGGCCGGGGCGCAGAGAGGCTTCAGAAGAGGGAGCCGGAGGCTCTCCAGCCTGATGACCTAAGTCTGTGGGGAGGAGGGAGGCTGAGCCCCGGGCAGGTCCGGTGAGGGGATCTGGATGGAGCACCCCGAGCCTGGGGAGGAGGTTTGGAGATAGCTGCTGTGCTGACCAGCAGGAGGGGGCAGACTCCTAGTCCAGCTTTTGGGCAGGTCACTCTGGACAGCTTAGCAGGTGGATTGGTTGGTGAGTGGGGGGCTGTTGCCCAGGAAGCCCCAGCCTCAGGACTCGAGCTGAGCCCAAGAGGCAGGCCTGGCATAGAAACCTCGGTGGGGGCTGCTTCTCCTGGTGCAGTGGGGGTGACCTCGGACTGTCTGCTGTGACCCATGCTGGCACCCACGGTGTCCCTTAACAGCTACCCCTGAGTGTGCCGGCATGGGGGTTTGGGCCAGGAGACCCCAGTTTGCAACTATTCCCCTGTTTGCATCCCCAGCTTGCTGCTTGAGAACCAGGTCCCCGGGGGCTGGGGGGGGGCGCAGGGGCCAGGCTGCTCAGACAAGGCTTTCTAGGATGTCTCTTGGAGGTGGAGGTGAGGAAGGGGATACAAAATAGTAAAGTCCTTAAAGGGCTCTCTGACCCTCCAGCCATTAGCTGGGGATAACATTGCCCAATACGTGTAACGTGCCTGCCTACCACATAGAAGGAGCTCACGTGGTATTGTCTGAAGCTGAGGGCTTCCCCAAATTGTGTGGCATTCCTGCAGTCCTTGCCCTCCTTAGCCGGCACCTGAACATCTGTGTCCTCTGCCCTGCCCCCTTACTTTTGGGCAAATGAAGCCTTTGCCCTTCTTCTGTCTTGGCCCTCGATCCTTCTCCTGGAAGCCAAGCAGAGGGATCCTTGGCAGAAGGCATGGGCTGGGCAGAGGTCCAGGGTAACCTGGGAGCCCTCCTGGAGGCCCCAGATTCAAGGCACCCCTTCTAACCTCAGGCAGCCCCAGATGGTGGCCCCCATTCCAATGGACCCCTTACTTGCAGGTTCACCCAAGGGCGGTGTGCTCCAGACGTTGATGACAGGAGAACCCAGTTAAAACTGATCTACCCCTGTCTTGCCTCCATAAGAAGGCACGTTACTTTTGAAATCTATTGACCAGGAAAATCTAGAATGACCAAGAAACACTAATGATTTGCTGTCACTTGGAAGTGAATTTGTATTGTATCAGTCACAAGAGCGTGTGAAGGTTGCTGGGTCTCAGCTTCCCTGTCCGTACAACGAGGGGATGGGACTAGCATTGGTTAGTTCTCTGGTCCCTTCAGGCTGTGTGATGATGGGACTCGGTTTATTTTCTCTCTTCCTGAGGTGCACGCCTCCTGGGGAGAGATAGACTGACATGCTCAGGAACTATCTTAAACTTCCTGTGGAGTTTAAGTTATATAGTGGTATATATAACTGCTATATAAGTGGAGACCCACTCCCTGTTTCCTGCCCTGCCTCCTCCCTTCCCTGTCTTACGATAAGGTGTGCAGTAATTATTGACTGAACGGTTGGATGGATGGATGCACAGAGGAGAGCAGGAGAATGTTGGTCCTTGGGCAGCCTGCTCTGTGCCCGCCGGCGCTGTTCGGTAGAGTTTCGCCACCAAGGAAGCATTGGGCGGAACCGTGGAGAATGGCAGGCTTAGGCAGTAAAATGCTATACCAGCCACAGGGTCATAGGGCCCCAGGGGGCAGCCCAGAAGGGTGAGTGCTGCTTCAGAGTGCTGGGTGTCCTCAGCTTCATTCTTGTTCTTGACCCCGCAGAGCCAAGACCTTCGGCCCTGCCTGTCAGAGACAGGTCTGCCACCCCTGAGAAGCCCGCCCTGCTTTCATCTCAGTCCGCTCCTACACTGACAGCTTTCTCCTTCGGCCAGAACAAAGGAGCCCGCCCCTCGCTCAAAGAAGAGGACCAGAAGGAGAGCAGTACCAAGGTATCTGGAAAGCGAGGGGAGGAGAAAGTGGGGGTCAGAGTGGACCACTGGCTGAACACAAGCATGTTTTCTGAAATACATAAATGTGGGGCCAGCCTGAGGAAGGCAAGAAAGAGCCCTGAGTCGGCTTCCCGGTGCTTAAGGCTGGAAGCTGTAGATGGTTTGGGGGTGAGGACCAAGGAAAGGAAGAGAAGGATGGGGGTTGGGGGCTAGGTGAGGGGAGGAGTGCAGTGGGGAGCTGAGGGGCAGGGTTGGGGGGGAAGGGAGGGCAGAAGGAGGTCACGCGGGGTTCGGGAGGAAGCAGGATGTGGAGAGCACAGAGGGGCTTAGGTGAACCAAACCGAGTAATTTGAACCAACTCCCAAGATAGCAACTGAGAGACAGCTGAAGGGCAGGTCAGCCAAAGACTGTGCTTGACAGGCTGACGAACACCTTGCGCTTCTAAGGTGACCTAGGTCCGGATGATTCCCTTCCCTGGTCTGGATGAATTTACTAAAACTTGAAGAGTCACTATTAGGGGAGCTCTGTGCTCAGTCTTTGAAGCAGAGATATGAGAGTACAGGAAACGTGCCTGGAAGGCCCGCTGCGCGCACGTGCTCTGTTAGAGTCCAGTGATGACGACGATGGGGTCTGGGCCGCGCGGCCTTCCCGCTCCAGCCAGGGCGCCGGAGCTCGACAACCGAAGGAAGAGGAATTCAGGGCTGTGACGTGACCCCACTGCCCCCCCCCCCCCCTGGCCGCTCACCCCCACGGTCAGACCCTGGACCTTGTGATCACTTCACCCCCCACTGGCATCTTGCTTTCAAGCATCCCCTTCGCCCATACCGCGTCCTGTTCTTCCAGCTTTGTCCAGCCACACCCCGGCCCCGCATCTCTTCCTGTTCTTGCATCAGCAATATCCTCCCCAGGATCACACCATTCCTACCAGCATCCTAGCTCTCCGTTATTTCTTTTGTCTCAAGAAAACAAAACTACTGCCTCATCTCCACCCGTTCTGTCCTGAGTCCGCTACAGTCGGGTTTGGGTCCCACTGCCCCCACGGAAACGGCCCACATCAAGGCCACCAATGACCTTCACCTTCCCACATGCAGCACAGCTCAGGGCTCTTCTCACTCGACCCGTCAGCAGCTTTGGTGGCTCACTCTTCTTGCAGTCCCCACCTTGGGAGGGACGGGGGTGAGGGGGTGGCTTCCTTCTTGGTTCTCTGCCTCCGTCAGATTTGGTTGCTTCCCAGTCCTTCTTGGCTGGCCCCTCCTCATCGTCCTGCCCGTTACACGCAGGAGGCCCCAGAGCCTGCATCTCTGGCCTCTGGTCTATTTCTACTGACCCTGTGTGACCTGTTCTGGTCCATGACATTAAGTGCCATCTATATGCTAAGGACCCCCAAATCTCCCTCTCTGGCCCAGACCTTCCCCTGACCTCCAGGAGCAGTTAAATTATATAACTAAGTATGTATTAACTGATACTCTGCATTTCCATTTAGGTATCTAATTATATTTCAAACTTACCTCCTCCAAAACTCAACGGTTGAATCTTTACCCCCTAAAATCTCTTTCCCCAGTCAATGGCAGGAAAAGGCAACTCCAGCCTTCCAGATCCTCTGACCAAAAATCTTGGGCCCACCCTTGCCTCCTCTCTTTCTCTGTCGCCCCACACCTCATATATCAGCAAAAGCGGTGGGCTCTACTTTGGGGACCTGTCCAGAATCAGGCCATTCTGTCATCTTCATTCTCACTACGCTAGTGCAAGCCCTACCACACGGAAACTCTTGGTTCTCTTTTGCAACTTTCCGTGAGTCTTAAATTATTCCCAAATATAAAACTATAAAAAACAACAACACTTAGAGGAACCCCGCATCCCCCAGTGGAAGTCCAACAATGTCACTCCTGTGCTCAGAACCTCGGTGGTTTGCTGTGTCCTTTAGAGGACACGTCTGACCCCTCACCATGGGCCACGGGGCCCGGTGCACTATGGTTCTGCCCACCCCTGCCACCTCTGACCCTGTGTCCCACCATCCTCTGCCTCGGGGTGCTCTGGCCAGTGTCCTCACCGCCCCCCAACCATGCCCAGCACACTCCAGGCTCAGGGCCTTTGCATTTGCTTTCCTCTGCTTAGCACCCTCCGCCCCTAGAAATCTGCATGGCCTCTGCTCTCTTAGTTCATTCATGTCTCTGCTTAAATTTCCCCTCCTCCGGGAGTCCTTCTGGGCCTTCCTACCTAAAATGGAAGCCCTGTCACCCTCTGTCCCTCACTTTCCTCCTGGTACATACTGCCTGACGTTAGAGATTGGTCTGTTTGGCAGCCCTCCAGGAGCAAGGTCTCGGTTGTTTTGTTTACTCCCAGAAGAGTGATGGCAGGGAGGAGCCACTCACATTCCTGACTGAATAAATGCAGGTACAGAAAGCGCCGTTGGGTCCTCACCGTAACAGAGTTTACCTTGACCTTCTGCCAGATCCACGTCACCATCTCCAAGTCTGCCCAGGAGAAGATGCGGCTGAGGCAGATGAAGGAGATGGAGTTGCTCCAGAGGGCAGAGGAGCTGGAGAGGGAGAGGGAGCTTGCTTCCCAGAGCCTGGCCTCCCGGAGAGCCCTGATGAAGGAAGGTACTGGGTGCCTGGGGCCCAACTCCCTCAGGCTGGGGAGACTTCTTGGCCAACCACTGGGCAAGAGAAGATTTACCCACAGCTCCCCATGCTCCCCATCCGGACACTGGACAGGGAGCTACTGATGGGCCCGTGTCCAGAGGAGGACAGGCAGGACCAGTGCCACCCTAGGACTCTCTCTGCCTCCACAGGCCTCCTTCCCCTCCGGGGTAGTGGGACCATGTCTGTGCCCACGGGGCTGAGCAACCCGCACAGAAACATCGGTGGCATCCTGAGGAAGCGGGCCAACCGGGCCTCACTGCCCAGCATCCCTGTCAGCAAGCAGGAGCCCAGCTTTGCCCGCCATGCTTCAGGTAGGGCCCAGGCCGAATGCCTGGGGGACACATGTCCCTCTCGCTGCGTTGCCTCGGGATGCTCTGGGGTACAGCAAAGGTGACCTGGGCCGTTCTGCTTCTTCCTATTACCTGTGTTAGAGTAGAGGGCAGTCTGAGATGCGATTGCCTTGCCAGAGAACGAGGGATAGTATGGGAGTCAAAAGCATCTACGGTCCAGACTGGGGATCCAGGGAATTGCAACTAGAATTACCGATAGAAAGGCAGGTGTGCCCAGCCTGCACGACATGTCCTAGAGGACTCACCAGTGCACCGGGACCACCGATGCTGGGGAAAAACACCCACGAAAGTAGCCGGAAACATCGGGAAGGGGAAGAGAGGGATCCGTAAAGACCTCGGGTTCCTGCAGTTTGCCTCATAAAATGTCGGGGTGGGATAGGGCTGATTACAGCCTGGGATCCCAGGATCCAAAAGTTCTTTGGGGTGCTCAGGAAGGTGCCAAGGCACAGTAGAGGCTCTGACCCCATTCTACCGGGGCAACATCTATTTTGCCTCACTTTTTTAGATATTGGGCATCCACCTGACATTTCAGTTTTGAAAGATTTTGCTACTAAAGAACATTTGAAAACAACCAGCCTGACTCAGAGTTTCTTTAAGTGTGGGCTGTAGTGGGACCATGGTGACAGCGTAGAACACCATGTTTGGTGCCAGAAATAACATTGACGCATCCTTCTTCTCTGTTCTCTATCCCTTTGATTCCGTCAAGTAGAAAGTCTTAATTCAGTGCTGGTCTTGAGCATCCCTTTCAGGCTTGGCAATCTCCTTTTTAAACAAAGAGATCTTCCTTCCAGCTTGAGTCATCAGAAGCTGCCTACAATTTGGTAGCTGGAGTTTATGACGTCCTTTTACTTTTATTGCAAATATCCTAACCTGTGGCGAATAATATTTGTTTACCACTTATGGTAGTGACATAAATTTCCCTTTAGGATAAAGTTATTTAAGATCTGAAAAGTGGGTTGGCTTGAAGAAAAAAATGCCATATAAATAAAATTACAGGTAATGAAGAGACATGGCAAGAAGTCATGAAAGTGGTGATTGAATGGTTGATACTTGGGAGATATTGATCTATATAATCCATCCCACTCATTTTATAGTCAACAGGACTGAGACCAAGACCCAAAGTCACCTGAGTTTACTTAAGGTGATGCTGGTCCATGGGGACTAAGATTTTGGCTAATGAATCTTATCCAATGGCAAAGGTGAGAAGAGAATCTGGGAATGAGGTCTTTTGGTCTTTACGTAAAGGATTTAAGTAAAGGATTGCCCTGCCAACTCAGATTTGCCTAGGACCTCCTGGGTGCGCCATCTTGACAATCATGCTGGTGGAGATGAGCCTCTGAAGAGAAGTAGCCAGGAAGCGAGGCGTGGCAGTGTGAGCTCCGGGTTCGGAGGAGAGCCTCTTGTCATGGCTCCGCTGATGGAGACGCTGAGGGACTGTGGGTGGGGACCCACACCCTTCCAATGCCTCTGAGGCCCCGATGATGTGTTTCGGGCATTGGAGCAGGTAGATGGCTAAACTGCCTTCCTGATCCGCTAGGATTTTATGATTCTAGCATCCGTCCCCAAGGAAGGGGAGCCTAGAAAACATGACCTGAGTTTTAAACAACATCCCTGCTTATTGGCAGTCCCTGCCACATCTTGACCACACGGGCCCCCATTAGCTGCATTGTCTCCTTTGAGCTTTCACTGTCCCCTGCTTCGTCCTTTGGGCCACTTCCCTGCCTTGCCCCTGGGCAACTTCACAAAGGATGGAGAGTGGGGGAAGGAGGAGAAGCTGATAACACAGCCTCCTGGGTGGGGATGAGGTTAGAACACCACCAGTGTGAGTAGGGGCTCCCTCCTCACAGACTTATGAGCCTCTCCCAACCACAGATAGGGCAGGGTTGGGGGTGAGTCACCGGCACGGTGGGCTTTGTCACGTGACATCAAGCAGAGTATCACAGGCTGGCTTGTTTAGAACCATGAGGATGGCAGGGCTGGGGCGGAAAAGGCCAACAAAAGCTAGAACTTTCGGAGGTGTCCGCGTCTCCCGGCGGGGGTGGGGCGGGAGGAGGACACACAGATCCTGCCCTCCAAGCCCCGGGCAGCTCCTCCTCTGAGCACATCTCGTGTTAGGCCAGGCCTGGGTCTTCCTGCTGAAATGTGCCATGTTCCTTTTCCTTTCTGTGAGGGCAGCCAACTCATTACCTGTGGTGCTTACCTTGGGGTCTCCCGAGCGGGAAGAAGAGGAGGAGGAATTGGATCCTAGAACCTTTAAGGAGTTGAGGCCTTTCTCGAACCCTGAGGTGGGGCTGATGGATGCCCTCCAGTGCCTGGAGAGCAGCGACTGGTGAGGGGACCCCTTCTCCTGACCCCAGCTACCCGCCTCCCTTGCGGCGGGAGAGGGGTGGTGGTGGCGGGGGGTGGGGAGTGCCCCGATCCGCATGGGGAGCAGGGCTCCTCCCTCCCCACCTGCCTGTGACAGGCCTGGAACTCGCTTCTCAGGCAGATGAAGGAGAAGGGCCTGCTGAGTGTCCAGCTCCTGGCAGTTTGTCATTCAGATGTCCTTGCTGGGAGGCTACACGACGTGTCCTTGGCTGTGACGGGGGAGGTGAGGCCACCTAGACAGCCTGTGTCCTGTGCACTGTCCCCACCCTGCAGAGCAGGCCGTCCCCCTTCCCTGGTGTCGCTGCTCAGGGTGGGTCACATGGCAGCCACGGAGGGGCCATGGCTCCCTGGAACGTGGCATCCCCTGCTTATTTCTTAGCCCTCAGCCACAGAGGTGGGAGGTAGCCGCCCATGTCTCAGATTGGAAAACTAGGCCCTGGGGTTTCCTTGTTTCTAATCTCTGGGCACTGAAACAACCAGAGTCCTGTATGCCTCTTCGTCCCAGCCCTGTGCTGTCCTCTGTACTCAGATGCCCAACAAGGGGCTGTAGCGTTCTGGGCTAGATCTCCAGCCTCAGGGAAGTTGTAACATCTCCCAAGGATTTTTCTCCCCTGGGGCTGGGGCTGGGGTGGGGGCCTAGGCCGGGCCCAGGGAGGCAAAGAGATGCATCTTATCATCTGGGAAGGCCAGGTCCCTTCTTGGGAATAGACTATTCCAGTGGTGGGGGTGATGTTGGTGGGGGGGGGGGGCCTGGGAAGACTAAATTGAACATTCTTTGTAAAAGTACTTAGAAGACTAAGTGTTGCACAAATTTCAGATGTTCAAATTTTAAATTTCAGGTGGAATTAATCACTATGATGATAACAATAATAACATTTCTATAAAAAATGGGGCTGTTTTGTCCAGAGCTACTGCATGGTTTTCGTTTCCAGCCTGGCAAGGCCTAGGCCTGCAAGAAGGGTGGCGGTGGCAGGAGACGGTGGGGCTGTGCCCCATACTTCGTATGTTCTGGAACCCTTGGCAGGGTCCAGCAGTCCTTGAGGCTCCCTGTCCCATCTCTCTCCTAGGTCACCAACCTCCGCTCCAAAGTGTCCCGCCTGGCCATCAGCACTCTGGGAGCCCTCTTCCGGACCTTGAAGAAGAACATGGACCAGGAGGCTGAGGAGATTACCCGCGGCCTGCTCCAGAAGATGGGGAACACCAGCGAGTTCATTCAGAGAGCCGCCCACCGCTCCCTGGGGGCCATGGTGGAGAATGTGACCCCCGCCCGCTCCCTGGCGGCCCTCACTTCAGTGGGCATCTAGTACGTGGTGGCTCGTTGTCGGAGGGGTGGGTTGGGAAGGTAAGGCAAGGGGAGAGGTCTGGGGATGGGAGAGGAGCAGCCAAACGCAGGAGGTGCCCCACACATGTAGCTGGGGGGAGGAAGACCCCTGCTTCCTGGGGTGCTTCTCTCCCACTTTTCTTGGGCTAGGTTGGGGATATTGAGACGAGCTCAGGGCAGCCCTGAACCTCAGCTGCAAGTGGAGAGCTATGGCGTTCTGTTCAAGGCTGGGGAGTTCAGAGTGTCCGTGGTAACATCCCTGGAGACCGGGCTGAGAGCCAGCCTGCGGCCCGTGTGCCTCTCCCAGGGGATGGGCGTTCTTTCTGATAAAATCAAGGCTGTGAGCAGAGCAAGGCACACAATCTTACTCTAGCTCACACCTCTTGGCCTTTTCCCAGGGAGGAGGAAGGTGCTTGCCTACCAAGGGAGGCTTTCTGCAGCCAGATTTGCTTTCACCTTATTCAAAAACCCAGACTAAAGCAAAACCGAAACCATTTCCCAAACCCTTTCTCCCACAGGGCCAAACCTCTCTCAGCCCCAGAGCCACTTGTAACACAGATGCAGGGGCCTTCTGGAAAGCCCCCAGGGTGTGTGGTAGCCACCGCCAGGCCTTTGCTAGCCGCACCACAGCTGGGTAGGAAGGGTGAGGGGCTCCGGAGTCATGTTGCCTGGGTTCACATCCTGGATTGTTACTTAACTTCTCTGTGCTCAGTTTCCTCATCTGTGAAATGGGAATAATAATGGTGCATACCTCTTCAAAGTGTGAGGAGTAAATGAATGGATTCATGAAAGAGCGCTCAGAACCATGCCTGCCTTTACCGTAACATTCACTGAGAGCTCACTGTGGCTGCCACTAACTTGGGAGATGTTATTTGTCCTTTTTTCTGGATGCCTCCCTTCGCTCAACTTGCTCACCTGCAAAATGATGCTAATAGTGGCTTATGGAATCGAACAGATAATAGATGGGGGGTGTTTAGCAGGGTGCCTGGCTCTGAGGCTGTGCTAAGTACAAGCTGAGGCAATTGATCATTGTTTTTTTTTTAAGATTTTATTTATTTATTTGACAGAGAGAGACAAAGCAAGAGAAGGAACACAAGCAGGGGGAGTGGGGGAGGGAGAAGCAGGCTTCCTGCTGAGCAGGGAGCCCGACCTGGGGCTCGATCCCAGGACCCTGGGATCATGACCTAAGCCGAAGGCAGATGCTTAACGCCTGAGCTACCCAGGCGCTCCAATTGATCATTGTTGCAAGAAGCAGGGTCTGGTGTCTAAAGAACTGTGGGCACTCAGGCCCTGTTTGAAAGAGTGAAAAAGAAACAAGTGACATTCTGATGGGTTTCCCCTGTTAGGGTTACCAAATCACCCATGGATCCCCTGTCCCTCCCTCCTGTCTCAGCTCACTTGGACAAACGTGCAGTTAGCTCCCACTAAGTGTGGGCATGTGCCAGGCACCAGCAGGGCACAGGATTCCACTGGGGGGAAGGAAGCTGGGCGCCAGCTCCCCGGGAGCTCCTCGCCCGGCTGGGGAGCCACAGGGGTGCACCTGTACTTCCCAGGGGACCAGGACAGCCCTAGCCCCAGGGAACATTCTGCCGAGGGGGTTGGGGAGGGCAGAGAAGGAGACAGGGATTGGGTAGGATCTTTCTAGGTGGGGAAAAGGTGGGGAGGGGAAACACGGGCTCAGGAAAGCACAGAGGTGGTGAGCACCTGTGTGTGTGTGTGTGTGTGTGCAGAGCACCACGTGGCTGTAGGCGCTCCTTCCTTCTCCTGTCGTTACCACTGTCATCCTGGGTTCTATGATCAGGACGTGACTCCTCTTTTCTTGAAGAGTCCCTGTAGTCCATATGAGAGATTGCGGAGCCCATCACGGCATGAAACACGGAGGCACAACTCTAGGTCCACGTGCGGCAGTCTGGGGACCCCACACCCCATTCCTTGTCTGCACCCTTGACTGGGATTGTATTTTTTTTTCAGCCACCGAAACCCCTCAGTCCGGAAATGCACTGCCGAGCACCTCTCAGCCGTCCTGGAGCAGATAGGTGCCGAGAAACTTCTCTCGGGCACCAGGGACAGCACGGAGATGCTGGTGCGCAACCTGGTGAGGCTGGCGCAGGACTCCAACCAGGACACCAGGTGATGCAGGGCCAGGGGCTGGGGGCTGCCTAGCCGGCCAGCCCGGGGCAGATAAGGCAACCAGCCAGCCCTAAGGGCCCTGGCCTGCACAGCTCAGCTTCCCTGGGGCCATGGGAGGGATGGTCAGACAGATCGCAGCTGTGTCCTTCCCTTATGGCCGCCATCCATCTCTCTCCACCGGCATAGCCAGGCCTGGAGGAATGGCCGGCACTGCACGCCTCTAGTTCTCCCTCTCTCGCCACTTCTCTCCCCCTGTTCCCGAACCACCCCAGCTCCACCCTCTGAAAGGCCATTCATTCTTTTCAAGGATAGGGAGCAGATCACTCTTCGTTATTACGGACAGGGCAGTGAATAAGAAGAATTAGGCCTCTGCTATCCTGGAGCTCACCCCTAGTCGGGTGGACAGATAATAAACAAATAAATTATTATGGTCACTTCAGATAGAGATAAGGGGTACAGAGAGAAGAGCACCACGGTGGCGAATGGGGTGGTGGCTCCTTTGATGGAGAGTCGGGGGAGATCTTTCAGAAGAGTGACACTGGAGTTGAGAACTGATGGGCCAGCAGGAGCCAACTCACTGGGGGTCCGGGGTGTGAATGTGCCAGCAACGGAAATGTACAAAGCCACCCCCCCCCCCCCCCCCCCCCCGGATGGGAGTATGCTCGGTACTCTGGGAGCAGGAAGGCTGGGCTGCAGGGCGCCCTGGCGAGTGGGGCAGGGTGGACGGGCGATGAGACGGATGAGGGCCCCTCGGGCAGCGGTCAGGAGACAGGATTCTGGCTGGGTTGTGACCGGAGGCCACTGCAGGATCTTTAGTAGGAGTGTGAGAAGATATTCGACGGTGTAAAGCAGGAGAGTGATAGAACCTGATTAGCGGTCTTGGAAAGCTAGGGTGAGGGTCCAGGTAATCACACTCCTTAGTCCCCGGGACACTGTGGCCAGGTCTGGAGACCACGCCACGTCCGGTACACCTCCACAGGGCATGTCCCCCCTGCCTTCCGTGCTTTTGTACAGACGAGAGCGCGCCCTCCCCACCGCAGCGGTGCTCCACGGAACAGCCTCCCACATGCTCCCTGGTGGAGCCCCGGGAGAATGTCTGGGAATATTCCGCCGGGGGCAGGACTGTGGTCAGGGGCATGTGTCCACCTAAGCCGCCCGAGCATCGTGGGGAGCTCTTGAGCACACCGCGCCCCTCCGCTTCCCTCCTTTGGGGCCAGTGCCTACGTCCTCATGACCTTGCGGTATCTGGAGTTCTAATTTTTATTGATCTAATGGGTAAAAGTGCCAGCTCATTATTATTTCTGAGTGCTTTTTGCCCCTGGTTACTAGAGTTTGTGTGTCTTTAAATGCTCGCTGTCTTCTTGATTTTTTTTTTTTTAATCTTTCTGGCTGCTCATTAGAGGATTGATAGTAGGGGAGGGGGCCAGGATGGAGAAGGGACACCAGACAGATGGCTACTCCCCAGTCCCTGCCAGAGGTGCTGGAGGCTAGCAGAGGGGAGGGGAGAGCTGGACTGGGGTGTCTTTTGAAGGCAGAGCCAACAGGATGTGGGTGGTGAGGCTTTCAAAGAGAAATCAAAGATGATGCTTGAGTTTTTAAGCTGAACAATTGGGTAAATGATAGTGTCATTTACTGAAATGAGGAACATTGGTGGGGAACTAGAAGGTTCTGCTTGATTTGTTTTTAGTTGTTGGGAGGGGGATGGACATTCAGATCTAATGTCTCTCCAGCTGGAATGTCGCCCTCCATTCTGACCTCTCTCACATTGCCGGCGTTGACGACACTCCACTTTCCTTCTTGGCACCTGTGCTTCCGGTGTCCATGGACCTACACTCCCTAGTTCCCCTCTTCCTCTATGGCCGCCTCTCCACCTGCCTGCCCTCGGGATGTAGATGGCCGCAGGAGTGTCTTCATTTTTGTCCTCTTACAACTTTCCCTGAGTACTGTCACCATTTCCGTGGCTCCAGCCACAGCAACTCTGATGCTTCGTAGGGTCTCCCTCCAGGCTACCCCTTCTCTGAGCATCAGTGCTTTACCTCTAAAGCCTCTGGAGGACCCATCACCGCTGCCAGATGTCCCACTGTCATCTTCGGTGCAGAATTTCCCTGAATGAACCCATCGCCTTCTCCCCAAGCCTGTTTCTCTGGCTGTGTTCCTTCTACTCTAAAAAGTCGCTATTATTTACTGAGTCATCTAAGATGCAGAATGGGGACCTTCATACTTCATTGATTCTAAGACACACAATTTCCCCCACCTTTTAATATCTTACACTCAGAGGCGTCTCACAGTTGCTGCTGGCCAGGCAGCAATTCTGATTTGGGTCTTAACTCTCTGCACATTCTCAAACGTGGGCATTATTGCTCATAGCATAAACCTTTGAATTATAGTGTGCATTGTAGGAATTAAACTAGGAGCCTTGCTCGTTGCCTTTTATATTTATTTTAAGAAGTCACCATGGATGCTCTGTGGGGACTTGTTGAGTTTAATTGCTCCCTAAAATGTCTCAGAAATATTACACTATTATTAGGCACTGAAATGAAAAGTTATAGTGTATGAGAAGAGGCATGGAACTAGAGCAATGGGACATAAATTAGATATGAATGCAAACAGTCATAGAAGGAACAACCCAAATTCCGCACTTCCTTACAGGCAACCACCAAGTAGTTTACCCAGCCTAAGGAAGGAAGGGCACTGCCTGTGAGTAACGTTACCTCTGTTTCTGAGATATACACGAAAGTGTTGCCTTCCCACATGGGGCAGTGTCGTTGAAGGTAGTGGAAATTGCCAGTGCTTTCTATTTTTTTTTTCCTCAGTGGAAAATAATCAATGGTGCATTTTATAATCAATGGAGTCTTGGGTTGAGGGAAATAATGACTGCAGATGTTTCCTGCTCCACCTCCGATCAGCTCCCAAGCCCTGCAGTCTCCACTTTCTTAGCAGGTCCCGAGGCTGACCTCCCCTTCCTCCTCCCACTCTCTGGACTGTCACAGTGGCCTCTTAACAGGTCTCCTGGCCCCCACCTTGCCACCAGAGATGTGTCCTCCACACTGCTGCCAGAGACTTTTCCACTAAAGTGCAAATCTGGTCATTCCGCAGCTTCCCGTTGTCTGTGCTTTAAAGCCCAGCTCCTTCACATTTCCAGAGATTGGGTCATATCCGCTCCAGGCCCTACCTGCTGTTTACCAACCACACGCCTGCTAACGTGTCAAATTGTATTACAGACCCTGGAATGACCCCCACCTCCACCCCCCTTCCCCCCTGATCCCAACCCACTTGTGAACTCCTACTCCTCTTTTGAGTCCCAATCTAAGCGTCACCTCTTCCATGAAGCCCTCTTTGATTTCCTCCCCCACCCACTGCTGTTCGCTAGGTGGAGCTGACCACTTCTTTCCAGACTGCCCCCCCTCCCCCGCACCCTTCCTCAGACTTCTAGATGCCTCATACTAGAAGAAGTTAAGTACATTTTGGTATAGTCATCCAATGGAATATTATGAATCCACTAAAAAGGATGATATGGGAAGATGATTAATGATGAAGTAAGAAAAGCCAGAGGCAAGTTGTATATACATTCTGGTATCAACAAAAATGTATATGCGTCAAAAAGGCTACAAGAAAATATGTGAAAATTTAATAGTGGTTTTCTCTTGGTAATGGGGCTACGGATGATGTTTATTCCTTTATGAACCTAGTTTTTAACTGTCTTAATTAGCAATTATGGTCTTAATTAGAAAAAGTATCAAAAACTCTTTTACCACAATTACAAAACTCCTGTAAATCTGTAAAGCAGATTTATGATGCATTTCTATGGCTGTTTCTTCATCCCTCTCTTTCTCATGCGGCAGGTTTTATGGCCGCAAGATGGTGAATATCTTGATGTCGAATACGAAGTTTGATGCATTTCTGAAGCAGAGCCTCCCGTCTCATGACCTACGGAAGGTCATGGCGGCTATTAAGCAGCGGGTGAGTTGGTGGCCTGAGCAGGTGGGGGTGGGGGGGGTGTGGGGGAGTTCAGAGCTGAGCTGGGGAGGGGAGTGGGGTGTGCATTCCAGAGATTCCATTTCACCCATAACCCCTGCCAGGTGGGATAAGGGTGGTTTCCTTCCCCTGTGCTCAGACCTGGCTCTGCCCCTCTCTGCCGGTGTGCCTTGAGCCACCCTGGGCACGTCCACACTGTCTCCTGTTAAATGGAGATCTTGACCCCTGCCCCGACTACCAGTGGCCTGGAATGCTCAGTTTTGCCCTCAGAAGCTCTGCCAGGTGGAAGGGGTTATTCCTGTCGCTATGGTCTAGCCTAGAGTGGTTGGCAGTTCCCCGGAGGGCCACCCCTTCGGCTCATATTCTGTGTGCCTTTTTCAAGGGAATAGAAGAAAGCGACGGACTTCCATCTGCCAAGGGCCGCAAGGTGTCGAGGAGTCTGGTGCTGGGTGAGGACGGGCTGCCCAGCGAGGATGGGTATGGCTGCTCTTGTCTCTCTGGGGCTCCACATCCAAGGCTGCCGATGGAGATGGCCCACTGGCCCTGGGCAGGGGTGGCTCTGGGAGGCTGTGTGGATCTGGGCTACGGTGGAGACCTAGTTGGGTCTGCAGCACTTGTGGGTGAATTTAGAACAGGGGTTCCCCACCCAAATCTCAGGGAGACCAAATCCCGGGATCGGAAGCACCGGCGGGAGACGTTGGTTTCTGCAGTCCTGCGGGGTGGGTGTAATGGCACTAGTCCGCACGGGGCGTGTTGCTGGCCAGGCTGTCTGCCCCAGCTCAGAGCTTCTCCACCCACTCCGAGCCGCTCATCCTGTCGCCGTCAGGGCAGCCTGGGGTGAGTTTCGAGGCAGAGCTGGGGCGAAGGCAGGTGCGAGGGAACGGGTGAGGAGGCTGGAGGGTGGGTGCTGGCAGGAGCAGAAACAAGGCAGAAACTCTCTGGTCACTGAGGTGCCTGAAACTCAAAATTCTTCTCCCTAGCAGGCGCTCAGGGAAACCCCCACTACCTGTTCAAGACCAGCTTCCTGCTGTCCCCCACACCTGGTCTCCCCGTCAGACCAGGGCAGCTCATCCTCCTTGCCCGACACCCACCCCCCCCCCCCCCCCCCCCCCCCCCCCCCCCCCAGCCATGCTCTGTCCCCTGCTGTGTCTCTGCTTATGCCACACCGCCTGCACCTGGAACATGCCTATTTCTTCTACAGGATCCCACAAGACCCATATTACTGTCACCTCCCCCCAGAGGCTCTCTCTGACACTCTCTGCTCTCTGTTCTTCGGTCTTCTGTCAGCCCCTTGGCTTACCTGCCTCCATTGGTCTGAGAGCTCCTTAAGGCAGAGAACGTGCCTCTCATCTCACTGTCCCCAGTGCCCACGACAGCGCTGGGCACTCAGGGGGCCAACCGCGCGGACCGCAGGAACGAATGACAGCATGGATGACGTTGGGCTCTGTCAGAGGGGACTTGCGTGTAGGGCGCGAGCTCAAAGAGCCACGTTCTGAGCTGGGCGTGGGGGGTAGGAGCGCTGTATGGAACCGCTCTCATGCTGGCTGGACTGGGCCAGAGGCTATGATAGACATGCGCTCTCAGCGCAAGAGAACAGGGCTTCACAGTTCCCTGGTCACTGGAGAAGTACGAGCAGGGCCAAGGCAACCGGATCAGGATAAAGGCACTGGCAAGATCTTCCCTCACTCTTAGCTTAAATGCGCAGTCGCCTCCGGTGGGCTCCCGCCTCTCATTCCCATACCAGCACCTCCCCCTTCTTCACGTGTTTTCTGAAAAGAGGAAAAAAAGGCAGGAAGAGAGGGACCTGTCCCCTGACAAAAGGGTGGGCCTCTAGGCAACCTGATTGCTGTCCCCTGAGGAAACAGGATTTCCAGGGTTCCAGGGCCGGTGTCCTCAAGCCGCAGGCCGAGCCGCTGGGGGGCGGACCAAGCTGCAGGCAGCACTCTTGTCTCGGTCTCACCTGTCTGCGGGCAGGGCATGGGACAAGAGGCGCAGCCGCCCTCTGGGGCTGCCCAGGTCAGAAGTCCCTTCCACACAGGCTCAGCTCCGGCGGCCCTCAGCAGGCGGGGCTTCGCTCCTCCGTGCGCGGCGGCCTCAAGGTGGCGGGGCACCTTTGGGAGCTGACGCGGCTGCTGGAGGCCAAAGAGTACCAGTCTCGGATGGAAGGCGTGGGGCGGCTCCTGGAGCACTGCAAGGCCACGCCGGAGCTCATCACCGCCAACCTGGTCCAGGTGAGTGCTGCCCCAGCCCTGCCCCCCGCCCCCCCGTCTCTCTCCTGTGGGTGCGACTTCAATTTGGAAACCTCAGGACAGAGTTGGACACGGTGCCAGATGCCTCAGGGTAAAGGGAGCCGGAAAAGCACCTGCTACCCGGTTGCCTTGGTGACACTGTGAGACTGCCCGGAAGTAGCTGCGTGGGACAAAGGCCCCGCCTCCTGCCAGGCGCCTTGGGACCACCCAGAGATGTCCTGGGCATCTCTCGTCCCTTTAGCGGATTTATGGCGAGGAGGGTAGAGGTAGAGGGTCCCAGGGCTGAGGGCTGCTCCTGGTCTAGCCAGGCACATGATGTGCTGGGGGCAGAGTATGTGGTTGGCCAGGCGACTGGGCCAGGATGGGTAGATGGGTGGGTTAGGAGCCAGCACAGGCCCTTCACAGACTGGAAACCAGGGCAGATGCTTGCTTCTTCCAGGATCCAGGCTGCTGACGGTCAAGCTATGTAGCACAGTAGTTAAGACACAGGCTCGAAGTCAGCAGACTTGGGCATCCATCCAAGTTCCTTACTAGCTGTGTGATCTGGGCAAATCACTTAAACTCTTTCTGCCTCAGTTTTGGCTTTGTTTTGAATGGTAAACTAAGGGTGGGGACACGTGCCTCATGGATTAAGATCATTCCATGAGAGGGCAGGGTACCCCTAATGAGATGCTTTAGATGCTTTGATGGAATGAGTGCTCAACAGGTGGTTGCTCTTCCCCTCTTGTCCTCCTCCCCTTTTGAGGAGGTAAGCGCCACACCACTGAGAGTGTTCTGGCATAAGTTGGATGACCCTGTCGGGGAGGCAAGAGGAATCCCTGCCAAGGGTGGTTGGTTGGGTTGTGGGCTTCCTGCCCAGCCTGGGTTTCCATGGGCTCTTGGTTTCTCTTCCCTCAATAGGTCTTTGATGCTTTCACCCCAAGGCTTCAGGATTCCAACAAGAAAGTGAACCAGTGGGCCCTGGAGTCCCTTGCCAAGATGATCCCCCTCCTGAAAGAAAGCTTACACCCCATGCTGCTCTCCATCATCATTGCTGTTGCAGACAACCTCAACTCCAAGAACTCGGGGATTTACACTGCCGCGGTGACTGCACTGGATGCCATGATTGAGAATCTGGGTAAGCCTCCTGCCTCCGCCCTGCTTGGCTCTGGTAGGGCGAAGACTCGATCCCTGAGCTCGCCCCAGGGTGGGCTCACCCTTCCCGCTGGGAATCAGCAGAGTGCTGATGGGCACTGGGGGGCTCTCAGGCCAGATGTTTCCCCGAAGGCTGCGTAGGACGGGGTGGGCAGCCCAGGACCTGGTTGGCAGGCTTTCCCATGTCACATCCACCCGAGTGTCCCAAATGGGAGGCGTGGAGGATAGATGTGTAGATGATCTAGTCTTGCCTCCTCAGAGTACATGTGACAGAAATGACTCATCCAGGGTCACACAGTACCGCAGTGATTGAGCCAACAGGGCATTGAAGGAAAAATGGGTCCGGATTGCCAGGAAGAAGCTGGAAGCATCGCCAGCAATGTTTTTAGATGTAGCGATGATAGCGGTGGGGGTGGCTTGTAGGGGATGGCGGTGAGACAGCAGAGCAAGCCTGCTGGAGAGGACAAAGTGGACGGGCAGGTGGGCCTCCTTGATTGTCTGGTATAGGAGTGGGGCTGGGATCCCATTGGCTTTTGAGCGTGGAACGAATGAGAGTTGCCTTTGAGGAAGACTGTTCGGGGCCAGGGCTCAGGGTGGGAGGAATCTGGGTGAGGAGTAGGGAGTGAGGGTTGGGGGTGGAATGAAACGGGAAAAAGGAGTGAGCTATGGGAGACACATCAGGAATGGTGAGAGCTTCTCAGTTCCTGTGTGCTTTGCACTAACACATCTTGGTTCTCCAACACTCCTAGGTGGGATTTTGGGTGCATCCACTTCTGCTTGTCATTCTTTTCTCAGATGCTTAGAAGGCGATATTTGGCACGTCTAGGACACATACCGAAGTGCAAGTGCATGTGGGACATAGCACCTGAGTAGTCATGTCCAGAGCAGAGGAACACTGAGTTTTCACAAACCACTCTTGCCACGATGTAAGGAAGCTCGTGACCTGAGGACCACCTGTGCTGGTCTTGTTGCTGTATGTCCCCATGAGCACAGAGCCACGTCCTGCCTTTAAGACCCATAGAGCATCCCCATGGTGAGGCTGCAAACACCGCCAGGCACCCCTCCCTTCCCAGTGCCCACACCCTGTGGGAGCCCAACTCCCTGGGGCTGGACGGCAGCTGTGTCCTTGGCTGAAGCTTCCAGAAGCAGTTTCAGTTACAAATCAAAGGCCTGGTCAGGCCCTTCTCTGCCTTTCGAGTCCATAAATACTGTCAATTTCCTCTCTTCATCTCAAAGGGAATTTATGATTTGCTGAGTTTGTTGCTGTAGAACAAACAATATAAATCCAGCTTTAAATTACGGCTTGTTCTCAGTGCTGCTCTGGGTAAGTGAGATTGCTGTTGCCAATAACCAAGGCTCTTGGCAAATCACTGCAGGCCCTGGATTTATTGGGAAAACCTGCACCAAGCAAAATAGGTTTTAGCTATTTGAAGAGGCTAAGCACCCTTGTTGGCAGAGAGGCGCTTTTAACCCTTCCCTCTCCGGGTGTTAGTTTCCACTTTCTGCCACTGGGCCATCCTCCTAGAGCACGCAGGAGCTCTGGAGCTTTGGGCTGCAGAATCTGGTGTCTTGCGTTGTCCCAGGACTCAGGCCTTCTCTACCTGGGGCCCTGTTGTACCTACCTGGGCTGGCCATCCTGGAAAGGGGGCCTGGGGCTGGCCTGCTTTTTTTTTTTTTTTTTTTTAAGATTTTTATTTATTTGTCAGAGAGAGAGAGCACAAGCAGGGGGAGCAGCAGAGGGAGAGGGAGAAGCAGGCTCCTCACTGAGCAAGGAGCCCGATGTGGGACTCAATCCCAGGACCCTGGGATCATGACCTGAGCCGAAGGCAGACGCTTAATGACTGAGCCACCCAGGCGTCCCTAGCCTGCTTTTGTCATCTGACTACACCTTGAGTCAGGTTGCAGCCTCCAGGAAGATGCCCATAGTTGTCCTTTCCTCCTGGGACAGGGTCTCCTTGGAAATGGCTGATGATGCCCCTTCTGGCCCATCAGCCAGAGGATCTATGTGGGGAGAATGGAGGCAGGCGTGAGGGATACTATTTTCCTCTCTAATCCTTAGGTCAGTGTTAGGCTGGAATGGAATGTTGTTGGCCTCGAAGAGTTGGATGGAGCCCAGCAAACCCCTGGCAAAAAAGCTCCTGTGGGGCCCAGAGGGTGAAGCCCAGGGTCTTGGCTCTGGGTCATTTTGAGCAGGTGCAGCAGTGGGCTCTCGAGGCCACGTGGCTGTGCTGTGAGCCATACCCATTCTGCCCAATGAGCAACTTTGGTTTTGGAAGTGTTTTTTTTTTTTTTTTAAGATTTTCTTTATTTATTTGAGAAAGCATGAGTGTGTGTGTTGGGGGGGGGATGGCAGAGGGAGAGGGAGAAGCAGACTCCCTACTAAGCAGGGAGCCCCAGGGACCAGGGAGCTCCGAGGACCCTGGGATCATGACCTAAGCCGAAGGCAGACACTTAGCCAACTGAGCCACCCAGGTGCCCCCGGAAATGTTTTTAACGATGAAGTGACCAGCTGATTTCTATATCTATGAAGGGCAGAAGTGGAGGGGTGTAGATCGCCAGTAAGAATTCATCACTGCCAGGGAGTACCTAGGGTAGAATCAAGCTCTCTCTGGGAATGGTTCTCATCTGCCTGGAATGGTCTGAGTCTGACCTGCGGAAGGAAAAATGGATGCAGGTCACTAAATTTCCCACTGTCCCAGGGGATTGGGTGGTAGAAGCAGAGACTGGAGCAGGAGTGGCAGAAGGGAAGGGGTGTAAGTCTTCCTTTCCATTTCATCCTGGTGGCTCCAGTCCACCCTCAGCATCCCGAGGCCCCTCCTGGAAGTGGCTTGGAGCCCTTTGAGCAGAGGGAGCTTTCTCCTAAGCCTAGTGTCATCCCCCTCAAGGGATCCAGCCTCCAGGCTGGAGAGGAACCATGAAATGCTGTGAAATACTTAAATGTGGAGAGTCACAAAGGAATGTCTCAGCATATTATGGTTTGTTCCCCACTCAACGGGGGCCATGGGGACCGAGAACACAGCCGGGGGAGTCCATCTTCTGGCACAAAGTCCAGATGGCACAGCCAAATTGGGAGGTTGGCTTTCTTAGGCAACCTCTTAGGGTCCCTCTTGATTCTGAAATTCAGTGATAAGTTGACTCATCAGCCACCCCATCTCTTCCAGTTCCTTGGTCTTCCTGAGGGTGTATGGGGTGGGTGGTATGGTGGTCGACAGAGCAGGTAGGGATTTCTGCCCATGTCCCCTTTTTCAGAGGTGGTGAGGAAGGAGGCATGTGGGTACCTTGCTCCCTGACCTCTGCCTTTCGTCACTGCCTGCCTGGGGACCTCTCCAGAAAGGACCCTGGAGAGGCATCCTTTCTACTCAGCACCAAGACCTTCTGATTTCAGGGGAGTTATTCTGGGGATCAAGGCAGTTCCTGAGCAGACTGGCTGGTTCTGTCTTTGGGCCCTGTTACCAGGTTAGCTATAGAAGAAACTTCACTAATTAAAACATCAGGCTGCTGACAGCCCACTCCCTCCTGGTCAGACTGAGCGTCAAAAGGAGTTCTCTTAATTTAGCACAGCCCCCAGCCAGTGCTGGAGAGAGCAGATAAGCTCTGAAATGGGCAGCTTCAGATCTACTTTTGTTATTTTGCTCTGCTGACTCTAAATTCATTACCTTATACAAATCATATGACCAACATGGTATTGTTCAGGGAATTTAGAAATTCATCCAAGGTGCCCCTCTAGTGTACCAGCTGCTTAAAAATCTCTCTTCTCTTTCTTGTCTACATGTGTACACATTTCCCTGGTTAAAGATTGTAATGTAAATACAACTTAGACTTTGCTTCTTTCATTTAACTGACCAGTTTTTCATGGTACCATGCAGCTTAGCTTAAAAATATAAAGTTTATTTTCCACCATGTAGAAGTCATACTTGTTCATTATTGAGAAAATGGAAAATACAAAGCATTGGGAAGGAAAAATTTGAAAGCCCCTCATTTTTAGTCTCAACTTCTGGAAGAGACCATTATTAACATTTGGCACTTTTCATTTCAGATATTTTTTTCTGTGCCTATTTGTGTCAAGTCATGATGATATTATGCATTTAAATTTGCCTCCTGCTTTTAAAAAAAAGCAGAGCGTAAGCCTTTATGTATGATTACACACTTGAGTCACTTTTAACAGCTCTATCCCATGCCTAGACCATAGCTTGCATTTTTCTGTTTAAATGGATTGTTCCCACTTTTCCTGCGTTGAGTGGACCTAGTTTTGGAGGCTGTGTGACATGAGATTCACAGAGTCCTGTGCTTATTGTCGGGGATCCACTTGGACCCCAGTTTCTTTGCTGTCACTATCCATGATACCATACTTTTCATGCTTTTAAAACAGTTCTTCTCTGGCTTTCCAGGAGCCTGAGGATGACGTGGTCTGGTGGCTGTGGGGCTCGGCCACATGGGGCAGGTGCGAGGCCCCATAGACCCCTGCCCCCTAGCAGAGAGGGAAGGCAAGGCCAGGGAGGATAAGTGTGTGGCCTGCCAGCTGTGGCTGTTTGCTTGCCCTGTGTGGGCAGCACCGAGGCCCGCTGTGGTTTCTTTGTAACATAGCAGAGGGACCCATGAAAAACTCGGGCTAACGGAGCATGGATCTTTAAGGTTTCAGGTTAGATTCCAGCCTCTTAATGGTCTTTCCACCATTCAGGTTGCTGGGCTTTTGGAGCATTTTTGGGTAATGATAGTAAACAGTAGCAAAGATAACTGATACTTACATAGTAATTACACACTCAGGGCACTATCCTAAGCATCATAACATGAGAGCAGCTCTAAGAGGAAGATATGAGTATTATCGGCTTTTTATAGATGGGTAAACTGAGGTGTAGGAGGTTCTGTCCAATGTCAACACAGAGAAATGTGGAAGAGTTAAGGATTCAGCCCAGGCCACCTGGACTCAGAGCCCACACCCCTCACCGTATACTTTCCCGCTGCTCAATAAGCCTGGGTGTGACCTGGAAGGCGAGCCATCACCACAAAAGCAGACGGCGGGAGAGAGGCCAGCTACTTGGGGCGTTGAGCTCTGGGGTTTATAAACCAGCTCGGGCATGCTTAATGTCTCTGCTTTAACACTCCCTGTAGTCCTGGAGCATTTATTGAGCACCTGTTGTGTGCCAGGGACATGGGAGCATGATCTGGCACAGATGTCTGCTGGATGTGCATTTTCAAGTACCCCCAAGTTCTTCACCTCTCTCTGGCTCTGGGAGGCCACATCAGCCACCAGGAGCGGGGAGACCCAGCTGTGTCCAGAAAATGTCCTGGACTGAGTGTTGTTGGGGAGAGCAAGGAGGCAGATGTCCTTGTCTTTTGAGGTGAGCTCATGGCTAATGATGGGGTGGGACAAATAGAAGCACCTGGAAACAATGCAGGTGACATTGATATAAAGACCTATTCTTACACAATTACAGATTTACCAAGACACCCTGAGACCACTTCTTGCTAACTGCAATATTCTAGAGGCGGGCCTCTCTTTTATTTCCCAGAACGAATTATTATTATTTTTTAAAGATTTTATTTATTTATTTGACAGAGAGAGACACAGCGAGAGAGGGAACACAAGCAGGGGGAGTGGGAGAGGGAGAAGCAGGCTCCCCACAGAGCAGGGAGCCTGATGTGGGGCTCGATCCCAGGACCCTGGGATCATGACCTGAGACGAAGGCAGTCGCTTAACGACTGAGCCACCCAGGCGCCCCAGAACGAATTATTTTAAAGACTCTTGCCTAACTTACGGATGGTGCTTTTGCAAGGAGCAGGGATGTATGTGATGTACACGTGTACATTTTCTCCTCTGTATCCCTTACAGCTCCCAGGAGGAGAGCAAGGGAATGAGCTCTTAGCTAGAATAGTTGCCTGGTGGGAAAAGCGAAGCTTTGATTGCATATCCAGGGGGATGCTGAGGTATTTGAGGGATCCGGAGAAGGTGGAACTTGCCTGGAAAGACTTCCTCAGGTGGGTCTCTAATCTCTGTCCCCTGCTGAGAGACATCTGGCCTTGAGCAGGACAGCCCCTGGGACCCCAGGACACACTTTCTGGGGGCGCCTGTGGTAACACCCATGACAGACCTCCACGACAGGTGCAGGCAGGCCCCGTGGCCATATCCCCCGAAAAGTGGTTTTGTTATTTGCGTTCCATCCCATGGGGTTTTGTGGGGACGGCTGGGGCAGTGTTGGGGGCTGGGTGTGTATCGTCTACATGAGCACGCTTTTCTCAGGTAAAGGGCTACTTTGCTCACCTTGTGTGCCTCTGTGAGGAACGCGGGACTTCAAGTGTAATAGTTTGAGAAACCAGGAGACGTCAGCCAGAACGGGGAAGAACGAGCCGTTTCTAGATTTAGCATCTATGGGATCCTGCTGGGGTTGGCTTTAGAAATACAACCGAAGAATGCCAGAGGGCTTCTTTATCCCCAAACATTCCCCACCCTAGTTGCCTGTGATTTCACCATCTGTGGTTCATTTTAATAAACACTCCATTGGCATCCAAATGGGGGAGCCCCCAGTCCTCGGGCCCCACCATGAGCGTGGCTGGGCAGCAAGGAGAAGTGTCTCCTGAAGCCCGATGTGGCTGAGAGCCCAGTGGGTGTCAGGGTGCTGGGACAATTGGAAAAAAAAGTTAAAAATCCCTCCTTCCCCTAACCCTCCTGAAGAGTGGGTTGGGGCATGTGGAGGACAAACTCTCTGGTCTTTACAAGTATGCCGTCTGGGCCCAAGTCTCACACAGGGAGGTTACAATATAAACTATTGAGAGCTAATACACGCCCCCCGTGAATCCCCTCCCCCGACCCAAACAGAGCCAGCCAGAAGCTTCTGCTGCTGGTAGGGTGACCAGCCCTCCTGGTTTGCCCAGGACTGTGAGCAAATGCTCTTTTGCCCCCAAACTCAGCAACTTTGAGGAAGGACAGACAATAGGAACCAGACCTGTGGGAGTAAGTGAAACCTGTTTGGGAGCCGGTGTAACTATATCAGGCCACTCACTCTTCCCCAAACACCCCATTGTGACTCAGAGAATTTAATTCAGCTCCCCGACAGGTCTCCTTCCCTGTGTGGGTGTTGCAGGTACTTGGCACTGAACAGCGGGTGCCATCGCTCGGGCCACGGCATCCTGGCCGCTGACACCCTCCTTCTCTTCCAGACAACTTCTGCCTCCTACAAGCGTTTGCTGGGCGGGTGCGTTTCCTGAGTGGCCGCGCGGTGCTTGAGGTCACGGAACGTCTGTCCGGTGAGCATCCCGGAGCCCCTCGCCCCAGCCTTCCAGTCAGCTTCCTGGCATGAAGCTGAACCACCCACTATCTTAGAACCCCCAAATAATCCAATAATCCTCACAGGGCTTTTAGAAAATTTTTGATAATCTGCTTTTTTAAAAATAATTCCTGCATTACCAAAAGATAATCTTTGGTCTTGACCAAAATGAGGCAGGTTGGTACATACACTAACTCGTTTTTAAGAAACGATGATGCATTTCTTCTTTGCACACAGGACTTCCCCTGGTCCATAGGGTACCTTTGTGTGAATCAGAAAAATCCCCAGCTCTTCTGGGTAGACCCTGGCTCACGGGCATGGGGCTCAGTCAGCAGCAGCCCTGTGGTGAGCATGAGAGCTGTCCCTTCTTGGGCATGCACAGCCTGCAAGGCAGAGCACAGCCTGCAAGGCAGAGCACAGCCTGGATGCCAGCCCTTCACCGGGCGCCCGGGCCCATGTTACGCGGAGTTGGTCTGAGTCTGCTCTGCTTTGTTCAGGCTTTGGCTGAGGAGAGCTTGCTCCAAGCCGATGTCTGCTCTGAGTTTGCAGTCTCGAGTGATTTCTTTCAGGGCTGAAACCTCCTGTGGCCCTTGAGCTGGCAGAATGGAAAGGACACAGGCTTTGTGGCAGACAGACCCATTTGCCACACGCCAGTTCTGGTCTTGGGCAGGTTACTTGGTTTTCTCATCTTTCGTACTTGCCAGAAGCCTCCTCTTCCTTCTTAGGAAGGTCCCATGCAGGAAGGAGGCAGGAGGACTCTGTTCTCTAGACCTCTGAGCACCGCTCCCCCTAACATGCAGACAGGTGGTGCTGCCTCCATGCGTAAATCCTTGCATGGGTTGTCCTCAGGCTAGTGTCTGGCTCCCTGGCCCTCCAGGCTCTGCCCCTTCCCCCGCCTCAGTTGTATGCACTGGATCATTTAATCCTCATAACATCATAAGGAGGGCGTGGGTTCCATGATTATCCCCTTTAAAAAAAAAGATTTTATATATTTATTTGAGAGAGAGAAAGAGTGAGAGCATGAGCCGGAGGGAGGGGCAGAGGGAGAAGTGGACTCCCTGCTGAGCAGGGAGCCTGACACGGGGCTCGATCCCCGGACTATGAGATCATGACCTGAGCCGAAGGCAGATGCTTAGCTGACAGAGCCACGCAGGTGCCCCAATGATTATCCCTTTTATAGAAATAAGGAAACTGGAGCTTAGAAAGGTTAGGTGCCCAAGGTCCTTTGCCGAGAAATCCAGGATTTGTCCCCGGGAGCCTGGCCACAGAGCCTCCCTGAGCAGCCCCTGCCTCTGTCCCCTGGGTACCAGCATGCCAGCCACCCTGCAGAGACGGATCTCTCATCCCCTGTGCCTGCCCACACGTGGCTGGTGGCCTGTGGAGCCCCTTTCTGCCCTTCTTCCTTCTTCCTCTACCTGGGCGGTGCCCGCCTGGTCTGGTGCCAGCCCCTGGGTCTCTTTCTCCCTAGCCCTCCTGCCTGAGTTTCCCGAGCCTCCCAAGAGCAGGTCCCACCCTGTGCCAGCCCCGGTCCGCATTGGGGTGCTCAGCACATGTTGCCTGACTAAGGGTGTCATTCTGCGCCTCCACCCGCCTATCTCTTGCCCTTGGCCTTGCCTCTGTGCCCTGGTTCAGTCCTTCTGGTGTCCCTGGAGTGGACCCTCACCTCCCATCCAGGTGCCAGGCCTTCTCCTTCAAACAGGTGGGGCAAGCAAAGTAGGGTTGGGGGCCACAGTGTCACGATCTTGGTGCCCAGGGGCCATGTAATGGAGACACTTGGCCACCAGACAAGGAACCCTTTTCTCTTGTTCACAATCTGCGTTCTCTGGTTGAAACCCTTACCTGTCCTTGTACAGGTGATATATGGGCCCCAGAGGTGGATGGGTACCTCACTTTAGATTATCCATTTAAATGTAAATATTTTCTACCTGTTTCCAAGAGACCTCAAAGGCAAAAGTTTCTACATAGCTCTCCTGGTAGGTCGGTGTCAGCCAGGAGCCGAGAGGAACATTTCAGTTGACACAAGGTGTGGACTAATAATAGCACAGCTTAACAGGAGTAAATCTTTTGCTAATTACTTCAGCTGCCTTGTAAGCTCCAATTTAATGGGGTTTTCTTCCTCATGATCAGAAGGGCCACTGCCTGCCTTTGCTAACTTGAGAGGCCCACTGCTGTCAGCCAGGTGACCTCCGCCTCCCGGACCCGGGGAACGGGGGCCTCACTGTAGAAGTGAGCTTCCTGGGCCTGTGTGTGATCGCCCGGCTGCTGGGAGGGAGAGAGTTCAGGTGGGAGTGCAGCGTGCCGGGGATGGGGGCTGGTGAGGTGGGGCGGGTGAGGGGCAGGTGAACCTCTCACCGTTTGGTGGGCACAGGGGAGACCTGCCTGGGCCTGGTTCTTGGGATAGTTCTCACCTTGGTTTGCTGGTGGATCCCATGGAGGCTTAGGATGTGGCTAATCAGGATCTTTGGCTTTCTTTTGTTCCCTCTGGCCACACCCCCCCCCCCCCCCCCCCCCCGACCTCTCCCTTGCTCCTCCTAGCTTCCCATCTTGGGGCTGCCCTGGTGGCTTTCCTGGTACCTGTGCCCTCCTCTGAGCCTGTCTCCAGCTTCAGCGTTTCCAGCAGGTCCCGCCTCTGTCCCACTTTATGAAGCTGCTCACCAGCCAACATGGCTGGGCTGATGCCCTGGGTGTAGTCCTGCCTTCCCCAGGAATGAGGACCACCTTTACTTCTGAGGCTTTGGTGACACTGGGGAGCCTCCGGGGAGGCCCCACAGGGTGGGGTGCAGGAACCCTGAGGGTGTGGCTTGAAAGCCAGCGTACACACTCCATGAGAAATGACACTGCTCCAGTGGGCTTTGCTGGGGGCGGGGGGGCAGCTCATCTCTGAACCCCTGTTGTCCCAGCCTGGCCCTGGAGTCCAAGGGGCCCTGTGGGAAACATCCTGGGGGGTTGGATGATGTTACACTACTGAAGGAAGGACAAATTGGAGATTAAAAATAAAACTCCTGGGCACCTGGGTGGCTCAGATGGTTAAGCGTCTGCCTTCGGCTCAGGTCATGATCCCAGGGTCCTGGGATCGAGTCCCGCATCGGGCTCCCTGCTCCTTGGGAGCCTGCTTCTCCCTCTGCTTCTCTCTCTCTCTCTCTCTCTCTCCCCCTCTGTCTCTCATGAACGGATAAATAAAATCTTAAAAAAAATAAAAAAAAATAAATAAAACTCCTCACCAGCCCCTGACATGGGGAACCCCTAGAGACTTGGGGTCACCGAGGGGTGCACAGCATGAGCTTTGGAGTTGAGGCAGGCTCTTGACCTCGTTAGATGTGTGGTCTGGGGCAAGCTCCTTGACCCCTGAGTGCTGGCTTCCTCCTCTACGAGATGGACCAGTGTCCTGCTTCTCGAAGCACTGTGAGGACAATGGAGTCATGCTACAGAACTCTGAGCCCCAGACTCTGGACTCAGGCAGTGTTAGTTCCCCAGGTGTGTCTCAGCGCAGGGAACGTTCCAGTTTCCTTGTTCCATCAATAAGTGAAGGTCCTTTGCTCTCACCAGCACTTTTCCTTTGGTAGGAGGATAGGCAGACTGCACTGATTGGACAGAGAAAGCATTGTTAACATGGATGCCCTCAGGGTAATGTGGCCTGGCTGAAGGCTGGAGGGGCCCCTGTGAAGTGACTTAGGGTTCTCTTGAGGTGGCTTTGACCCTGGCATTTACTCTGGAATGGAAGTTTTGCTGGCAGGGGTAGCCTGCTTGTGGGTTTTTTGGGGACTAAAGAAAAGTAGAGGGCCTTGGAGAACCAGATGCAGGGGGTTCATCACTGAATCAAGGGTCTGTGCAGAGCTTGCGGGTTGACAAAGCACATTGATGCCTCCTGGATTACTGCTGGTCTTGTCGTGGGGTTTGGCATCCAAACACTGGGGAGGCCACACTGGTCCTATCCCCTGCTGGCTGCTTTATTTTTCAGAATGCTTCATTTGAGAGAGTGTTGACTTTTCTCCCTGGTACGGTTTTTCTCTGTTCGTATGAACTCAGAGAGGTGGGAATGTGGATTAAAGTAATACTAGATTGCAGTCCAGGTGTGTCTGCGTCTTTCCTCTCCCCGGGGCTGCAGGGACCAATTGCGACCATCATGGGCTCTGAGTACTTTTGCGTTTGCATACTCATTCCTCCACTGAAAAAAAAACTTAAAAATTGTATTTTATAACTGGCTGGTATAAACATGAATATAAACGAAGTTGGATATCTTCATATTTTTTGCTTTTGATTTTAAAAGAAATCAAGCCATTTTCATGGGCCCCTAAATGTGTCCGAGCCTTAGCTGGTGTGTCTAATGACTAGTTGGCCCTTCTGGGCGGCCTGCCCTTTGGGGGGAATAGAGTTGGTGTCCCAAGAGAGGGCAGCAAGAGAGGGAGAGAGTGCCTGCCTCAAGTCAGTCTCTCCGTTTTCTGTCCAACAGTGCTGGTGGCCTCCGTGTACCCCCAGAAGCCCCAGGCTGTGGAGCGCCATGTCCTTCCAGTCCTCTGGTGTTTCCTGGGCAACATGACCGGGAACGGTGTCCTGCCCGGGCACAGCAGGAACGTCCGCACGGTGGCGCGTCGGCTGTCCAGAAGCCTCCAGGAGCACATGGGCTCCCGGCTGCAGGACCTGGCTGCTGGCCAGCCACGGCAGGTCCTCAGAATGCTCCAGGACCTCCTAGACGCAGCGCCGCCGTGAGGCAGCCCCAACCAACGTCACCGACAGAGGGATGGCATTGGACAGCAAGACAACTGGCAGCTCATACCCCTTTCAACCGGCTAAGAGACGGACCTGAAGTGGGCAGTTGTTATATCTTACCTTATTTTATTTTTACGATGGAGTCTTCTCCAGGTCTACTTTCTCTTAGAGTTCCAGATGTATATAGTATATTTTGAAGTAGAATAAAAGCAGTACTTATTTTTCTAAGGTTTTATTGTCTTGTACTTTTTTAACCTGAGAATTTTTTAATAACTAGGGTTGTCACAAAGGACACAAGACAACAGCAAAACCAGCTGCAGATGGCACGGGGACGAAGAGTCAGGGAGGAAGAGTGTAGCACAGACCCACAAGGTGTAGACCGTGTCTGGGCACGGCCCCCCATCTGTGAGAGGCTGGGCAGCCCTCCACAACCCAGAGACCCTGAGTTGGCCATTCAAATCCAGTTCAGTTGTTATAAGGCTGATTCGAGGTGAGTAGAACAACCCTCTCTGGGGTCATCCTGCTTCTGCCTTAACAAAATCTTCCAAGGGAGGGTTTGACATTTGCGTTCCTGAAAGCCTTTTCTGGAAGCCGGCATTCTGGCTAGTTCTACAGAAGACTAGATGATGCTTCACACTCGAAATACCATCCATGAAAGCACGTGGTGGAGTATAAAGCTACAGGACGTGCAGGGGTCATGTGGGAACTCTGAAATTGCACAGGTGCCCCCCCCCCCCCGCCTCAGGCTGGGTCACGAAGCTGGAGGGGTGTGCTGGATGCAGGATGTGCCAGAACATGAGCAAGCTGAGAGAAGGTGTTGCCCACGGATGCAGCAGCAGGAGAAGTGGGGTCCTGCGGGGAGAGAGGGATGTGTGGGGCTGGGACTCTGGACACAGTAGGAGTGGCTTTGCCTTGTCTGGGGCCCATCAAATTGACCACAGTGTGACCAGGAAGAATTAGAGCTCGGATCATGACCTCAAACACACGGGGAAGGTGAAGGCTGAGGGGCAGCGGCTTGGTCCCAGCCAAGGAACACAGCCAGACCCATAGCAACGCTCTGGGGCAGATCCACATGGCTCAGGCCCTCAGACCCCAGCACCCTGCCAGCAAGTTTTCTGGCAGACCCCACCAGTGGACCCCCTCCACTGTCGCCCACCCCTAGGTATAATATCAGTTCCATATCACTGTTGTGAGCCTCTCCTGAGGAGGATGGCCCAGAGCAGGCTGGGGAGCCCCAAATCAACTTACATATTTCCAAGTTCATGGGTACCCCTGGCTGAGAAAGCCACTTTTTCATCTTGCCTATGTCTCCTCGTGCAGCCAGTCGGGCCCCCACCCTCCCAATGCCCTGGGGTGAGGTTGGTATGGCACAATCATCCTGGGACTTGGGCTTTTAATAGGTGGCATAAGTGTGACTTTGAGTAATTCTAGCCCCAGTAGGAGCTGCTTCTCACTAATTGTGACCCCAGCAGGGGCTTCCCAGCAACCGCCCTCCCTTAGGCTGATTCTGACTGAACCAGGTTAAAGGCCTGCTAGACAAGGGGGCATCAGAGATGCCCAAGAGGCTGATTTGTAAATGTTTGTAAAGTTTTACACCATTTAATTAATTGTGTTTGCTTGGAGTTTGGACAGACTCTGGTTTGGACGGGGAGACTGACATTTTCGGCTTGTCAAGATCCTAGAACCTGTACGAACCCAAGGATGCAGAGTCTGGCAGGGATTTTGTAGGCAGAGACTAAGCTCAAAGGCATTGTCTTGTCTTCTATGCGCATCTTCAAAATGGAAGCTTCCAACCCCCTGTGCTCTGTACCCACCCTCCGGGGTAGAGGTGTTTAAAACAACTGAAAACAGCTGAAAAGCAAAGAATAACTCTGCAGGGTTCTGTTTTCCTTCACTATTTTAAGTTTAAATCTAGTCTCTGGGCAGCTGGGCTCTGTGGGCAATGCCTCTGGCCCAACCCCACTGGGGAGGGGCCAGGTGGTTCTTGGTGGGTGGGGTGGGGTCTCCAGAAATTTCAGTGTCAAAATGTTTCTTACGAAATTAGCTTAAATTTTTTTCTAAGATTTATTTATTTTAGAGAGAGAGAGAGAGTGGGGTAGAGGGGCAGAGGGAGAGAGAGAATCTCAAGCAGACTTCCCACTAAGCTTGAAGTGCGACAGGGAGCTCGATCTTACAACCCTGAGATCGTGACCTGAGCTGAAATCAAGAGTTGGGCACTTTACTGACTGAGCCACCCAGGCTTCCCCCACATCATCACTTTTAAAGCCTGGGCCTGTGAGGAGGAGGCAATGAAGATGGAGGGCTGGGGGCGGGGGTGGGGGAGGGTCCGAGCGGAGCCTGCTCCATTCTCTGCTAAGCTGTGTGTGCAGCCAGGAACTCTGCCTCCCTAAGATGCTCTCGGGGCTGGGAATACAGCTTCTAGCTATGCGAGGGCTCCCCTCTCCCTCCAGGGTAGGAATTAAGGACTAGACTTGTCTGAGAACAGGTAACTGCTTCGGAAATTTCTGGGGCTTGAGGAAAAGCTGCCTCTAGGCCCTTCTTCCTGGCTTGTTTTCTTTTTCCTCTCGCTCTGCCTCAGCATCTTCCCGGGAGACAGAAAGAAATACTGATGTGGGGCCTCACCCCCAGGGATTTTGATTCAGTTGGTACAGTGCAGGGCCCAGGGTGCTGTCTCCCCGCCCCCCCGCCCCCCCTCAGCTTTATTGCAATATAATTGACGTAGAACATTGTGTGAGTCGAAGGTGTACAAAGTGTTGATTTGATACATTCTGTCTTGCAAAGTGATCACCCCCATAGCATTAGCCAACACCTCCATCCCATCCCATAACTACCATTTCTTTTTTTTGTTGCGTTTCATACTCTTAGCAACGTTCAAGTAGACAATATAGAATTATTAGCTGTAATCACCATTCCATACATTAGGTCCCCAGAATTTGGATCTTCTAATTGGAAGGTTGTCCACTTTGATTATGTCCCCATTTCCCCTATTAGGCAGCTGGCTTGGAGAAGCTGTGCCCGAACCACCTGTTTCCTGCTGGGCTCCGCAGTCCCTTGGGGGGGGGGTGCGGGACAGCATCACCTCTGGGGCTACTCACCAGGTGGGCGTTTCTGGGTCTGGGACCAGTAGACCAGTTTGGTCCTTATCATTACTGGGGCTTATTGGGCGGGGGGGGGGAGTGTTACTTCTCCTTATTCCGTCACCTGGTGTCTCAGTGAAGAAGGTTATAACATTTGAAGGTTTTGTTTTGTTTTAATCACGGCTTTATAATTACCTCTCTGGGGGTTGACAGGGGCTATTAGCATCACCTGGGGTTCTCCTTGAGAGTCTTTACACCCAGAAAGTGATCCAGCACCTCTGTGGCTGGTGTCAGCAGCCATTAACTAAACAATAGCTCTAAAAAGTCACCGGGTTTTGTAAACACAGCCAATCCTGTCCCCTTCCAAAGGAGAAAAAAAAAAAGATAAATAATTTTCATGAAGGCAATTTGTTTCCCAGGGTCTATAGTTCCTTTCTGTCTCATCTGCTGGGTTTTACTACCTTGGGGCACTGGCAATAAAGTGAGAAAGCTGTCTCCTCGAGTGCTGTCTCTTCCAGCCTGGGCGGGGGGGGGGGGGGGGACGGGTTCACCTAGAAGCCCACTTTGGGGGTTCATAGCAACAAGGAACAAAGACTTTTTTTTGGAAAAGACTTTTTTTTCTTAATGCTGGGGGCAGTTTTATATGTGTGTGCAGGGGAGGGATGGGGAGCGGTAGAGGAGGTGATTATAGAAAATAATTCTCTTGGAAATTTTGTTTTGAATTTCCATCCAAGCTAGTTGCAGAGGAGTGGCTAAAATTACAGCTGGCCTTCGGCTGGATCTGAAAAACAATTTCCTATTTGTCAATGTTGGAGAAAACTGAGCATTTCTTCCACGGAAGGTTGTGGTGTCTTTTGGAATAACCTCACTCCTGCTGGCTGTCGGTGTTAGAACCAAGGCTGGGCAGGAGCTGGGGAGCCCCACTTGCTGGCCAAGTGTCTTTGACATCCCCCAGCCTCCTTTTTTTCATTTGTCAAAGGTGTTGAAAAAAAGACTTGCTTTTCATCTCATGCGATTAAAAAAAAAAAAAAAAAAACACTGTAGATAATCGTATTTCGAAAATGTAGAGTGTTACACACAAAGAAAATGTATAATTATTATTAACTCCAGCTTCAGCCCAATAAGACCTGCTGTTCAGGAGGCACTGAAGTCATTCCTGGCATCTGACTGACAGATCACCCACGACTCAGTATGGGAATAAGTGGGAAATTCTGAAGCTTAATTTTTTCCCCCGTTTGGAATATTTGACATTTGTAGTCGTGATGGCAGGCAAAATGTTTTAAAGTCTTTTCACTTTGAAAGATATGGAATCCTATGGAGAAGGAAGTCAATTTGAGCTGAGTTTGACAGCTATTCTTAACTTTCTCCAAGAATCAAAGCACAGATCTGGAAGGAGGGGGATACCCTACTTTCTTTTCTTAATCGGAATCTTGAAGTGCAGAGATGGCAGAGATGAACGTTACAAACAAAAGTGGGAGAGGGATCATCAGTTCAGTTCTTCCAGAGGGCTCAAAAAAGATGGTTTGGAAAAAGCGAGTTTGCCTGTGTCTTGTAGATGGCAGGGTATGGAGGTTGGCATTGCCATTGCAGCTTTCCAGAGGAAGGAACGGGCCCCTAGAAGCCGGGTTGCAGGGTGGAGGGGATGGAGGTATGGGGCTTAGGCTTCTGGGTCCCAACCATCGGGAGTGGGATAGACTCCAGCTCCCCAGGGTGACCGACACATCCACCACGCCCTCCTTCTTTCTCTTCCTTCTCCTGGTTTCTTCATTCCTCTTCTTCCTTGGACTCAGGCCCACCAGGCTTGTCTCGGGGCATTACCTGATTCCTGCTGGGGCTGCCATTCCAGCCAAAACAGGTTGTTGACTCGTGTGCGAGACGTCAAGGGTGCCTGGAATTACAGCATTCAGGACCCGGGCTACTACATGGGTGGAATTCTGTAGTCACAGGGCCCACAGGCTATCGGTCAAGTTACTTTCTGAAGTCCATGAGAGTAATCAAGCCAGCAGTGTCCAGGGTCTTC